TCCCCGTTCTAGAGTTACTTTTTGAGTCATTTAATGTGATTTCCTGAACTCCCCTGAATGAGAGAATTTAACTTAGGAGGTCTCAGGAGAGTCCTGGAAGTTGGTATTTTTCAATAAATATTCCTGGATGCTAGGGAAGTTTGGGGAGCAGTCAGAGGACATCATCTACCCTTCCACCTGAGTTAGAATTGTAACTTTTATTATCTTCTTTTAACTTTTTATTTTGGAAAATTTAAAAGACTTATGAAATACACCTACATACCCATCACTCATCTTCATCAATTAACTCACTGCAAGTGTCGTTTTATCTCTACATACCTTTTCTCTCTACGAATTATTTTGAAGCAAATCCTAGCTACCATGTTATTTTATCTGTAAATATTTCAGTGTGTGTCTCTAAAAGATACAGGATCTTTTTCAAAAAACCCCAAAACAAAAAAACATAATCACAATTTTATATCACACACATATATACACGCACACACACACTCTTTCCTTGATATCATCAACTATCCAGTTAGTGATTGATTTCCCTGTTTGTTTTATGATTGTTTTAGCTTCTTTAAAACAGGATCCAATTCAGAAGCATTACGTGGCAGAGTCTAAATATGTCATGTCATGTGTCTTAGTCTCTGTAGATCCTTCCTTCTCAACCTACCCCTCTCCCACCTTAAAATGTTGTAATTTATTTGTTAAACAAACAAGCAAAAAAACAAGGTCATTTGTCTTGTAGAATTTCCTTTTTTTTTTTGCTGTTGGCTGTATGGAGATCTGAACCCTTGACCCTTGACCCTGGTGTTTTTTGCTGTTGGCCTGTATGCGGATCTGAACCCTTGATCCTTGACCTTAACACTATGCTCTAACCAACTGAGCTCACTGACTAGCCCTTAGAATTTCCTGCAGCTGAGATTTTGCTGATGAGATGTAGCACTTTTTGAATGCATGTGTGATGCTCTTTTGGGAAATTTTATTACAAGTTGCAAATAGCCCTTTATACCACATTCAAGCAGTCTGCTTTTCATTTTTCCTGAAGGTGTGTTTTTGGATTGCCACAATGTGACCACCTTTAATTATTTTTTAGGTTACTGTTTGAGTAGATATATTCCCATGGTTCAAAAGTAGAAGGTATTTAGTGAAAAGTAGTTTTCTAACTCAGTTCTGTTTTGTTCTTTTGCTCCACCTGGATAACCACTGTTAGTAGTTTGAGTATTCTTCCAGTGTATCTTTAATCATATTGTTTTTTAAAAGTGATCTTAAGAAGGGCCAGCCTATGGCTCACTTGGAAGAGTGTAGTACTGATAACACCAAGGCCACGGGTTCGGATCTCTATATAGGGAGGGCCAGTTAGCTCACTTGGGAGAGTGTGGTGCTGACAACACCAAGTCAAGGGTTAAGATCCCCTTACTGGTCATCTTTTAAAGAAATAAAGTGATCATAAGAAAAACAACAAAACGAAAAAGTGATCCTTAAAAGGTTTGTTAGAGGGCCGGCTCCGTGGCGCATGCGGGAGAGTGCAACGCTTGGGAGCGCAGCGGTGCTCCCGCCACGGGTTCGGATCCTATATAGGTATGGCTGGTGCGCTCACTGGTTGAGCGCGGTGCGGGCGACACCAAGCCAAGAGTTGTGATCCCCTAACCGGTCACGAAAAAGACAAAAAAAAAAAAAAAGGTTTGTTAGAAATGATATCCAAGGGGCCGGCCCGGTGGTGCACTGGATAGTGCACCGCTTGGGAAGCGCGGCGACGCTCCCGCCCGAGGGTTCGTATCCCACGTACAGATGACCGGTTCCCGCTCACTGGCTGAGCGAGGCGCGGGAGCGACACCGAGGGTTGCAATCCCGTTGCCGGTCCCCGGTCCGGTACGGGGGCAACGCTGAGGGTTGCGATCCGTTGCTGGACACGGGAAAAAAGACAAAACAAAAAACAAAAAAAAAAAAAAAGAAATGATATCCAACACTTAGAACTGTGAGGTCATACCCTCAGGAGTAATGATTAAATCTGTTATATTTCTTTGTCTCCCTCTCCCCTTTTTAAAAAAGTGAGTTTAGGGAACCTTTATAAGCATCCAAAATTAGCTTCAATGAGGTCTGTTTGGAGTCATTTGTTTCCCTCAAACAAAGAGACTTTGTAAGGATTTGAATATAAAGTGATGCCTTCTTTTCTGAGAGATAGTTTTTTGGGAGAAAACTTTACCTTATATGTGGGCATTTTTGGTCATTCTAATCGGATTAACTTTTGTTGAAAAAAGGTAAAATGTGTCTTGAAGAGCTGGATTGCAAAGATGTTAGTCCTGTGTTCATGTGTATGAGAAATGCTTTATCTCTCAGGAGCATGTATACAGAAGCAGAGTGACGATTCCAGTTTGTCTCACTGGAAAATTCAGCAGGAAATAAAAGCTTTTTGAGTTCAGGCAAGACTACAGATTTTTATTGTCTGGGTTGATGGAAATTTTCCATTATAAGCATGATAGTTTTTGGAAGGTTGTTCTCCCTTACTGATACATTTTAAAAAAGTTTTTGTGGGAAATTTCAAACTTTAATTAACTAAACAGAGTAGTGAAACAAATTGCCAAGTACCCATCACCCAGCTTCAGGAGTTCAGATTACATTTTATTTATTATTTATTTATTTTGGTGGCTGGCTGGTATGGGGATCCTACCCCTTGACCTTGGTGTTATCAACACTGCATTCTCACCGAGTCAGCTGGCTATCCTGAAAAGATTCTTGTTTGGATATTTCTGTTAAGAAAGCAGCAGCAGGAAGAAATCTAAAGCAGGAAAGTGTAAAATGGGAAATTTATAATTCACTTAAATTTTTCTTACCAATATTTATTTCTTTTTGAAGTGTAGATAGAGATAAGGAGAATTAGTATAGACAACAAACAAATGTTTGTTCCATTTTAAGGAGGTAATCAGTTTATCCATAATGCTCTTTCATAGTGAATTCTTAAATTTTATTTGTGAATTATATTTGCTTATTAAAGTATTATTAAGAAAAGAACTTGGTAGGCCTCTTGCTCAAGCCATTTGGCACTGGTAGATGTAGATGGCTTTGTCAATAAGAAGAAACAATGGAACTTAAAAGTTTTTTTTGTTTTTTTTTTTTTCCTTTTTTTGTCTTTTTTTTACTGACCGGTAACGGGATCACAACCCTCGGTGTTGCACCCGCACCGCGTTCAGCCAGAGAGCGGGAACCGGTCTCCACATGGGATCCGAACCCTCAGCGGGAGCGCTGCCGGGCTCCTAAGCAGCATACTCTCCAGTGCGCCACCGGGCTGGCCCCAAGTTTTTTTTTTTTTTTTTTTTTCCTTTTTTTGTCTTTTTTTTACTGACCGGTAACGGGATCACAACCCTCGGTGTTGCACCCGCACCGCGTTCAGCCAGAGAGCGGGAACCGGTCTCCACATGGGATCCGAACCCTCAGCGGGAGCGCTGCCGGGCTCCTAAGCAGCATACTCTCCAGTGCGCCACCGGGCTGGCCCCAAGTTTTTTTTTTTTTTTTTTTTTCCTTTTTTTGTCTTTTTTTTACTGACCGGTAACGGGATCACAACCCTCGGTGTTGCACCCGCACCGCGTTCAGCCAGAGAGCGGGAACCGGTCTCCACATGGGATCCGAACCCTCAGCGGGAGCGCTGCCGGGCTCCTAAGCAGCATACTCTCCAGTGCGCCACCGGGCTGGCCCCAAGTTTTTTTTTTTTTTTTTTTAGCATGAATTGATATCCATGTGCTTACTGTATTTCTCAAACCTGGTCTGCATCAAAATTACATGGAGAATTAAATAAAGATTCCTTGGCCTCACTCTGGACCTATTAAATCACCATATCTCAGTGTGGAATGGGCCTTAAAAATCTGTTTTTGAAGCACTCCCCAGTTGGTGATGATGTGAAGCTAGATTCAGGAACCATTGCACCATTTATTCTACAAATTCAACAAATATTTGAGAGCACTTACTATGTGCCAGACACACTGTTGTAGATGTTCGGGAGACATCAACAGAAAAAAAAAAATTCCTGCTCTTGTGGTGCTTACGTTCTAGCAGGGCTAACTTGATTGAATGCAAAGTATGGTTATTCTGGTTACTATTGCTAGTTACTGGCTTAAAATAACTTTATTTTGCTCTCAATTTTGTGAGTTAGGAATTCATGAAGGTCTAGACTGGGCAGTTCTCACTTGGGGTGGGTGTCTTACGTAGTTCTACTCAGATATTGATGAGGGCTGAAAGCTTGACTGGGCTGGACATCAAGGTGCTCACTCACGTGACAGCCAGTTGATGCTGGCTGTCTGGGAGCTCAGCCAGGTTTTAGACCTATGCACCTGCACGGGACCTCTCCAGCAAGGTGCTCTTAGGGCAGTCTGACTTCTTAAATGGCTCCTGGCTTTCCCTGAGTGAGCAAGAGAATCATGTGGAAGCTACAAGGCTGTTCTGACCTACTCTAGGAAGTAATACAGTTTCTCTTCTGCTGCATTCTGTTGTCTATAAGTGAGTCACTAGGTTGGTCCAGATTCAAGAGGAGATGTCATAGACCTCACCTCAATGGGGAGTAGTGTCAAATAATTTGAGGACACATTTTAAAACCACCACAACTGTTGTAGTTTTGTTTTGAATATATTGGAGATGTTAGAGAAGAGAAGCTGGGCACTGCTTTACTCTAAGATCCCCAGTACAGAGTGTGTTCTAGAGAAGTTTTTCTCAAGAGGATCATTAAGAAAGGGAGTATGTGTTTAGCATCCCCTTTAGGTGTGACATTATGAGACCATGGTCACAGGTTTATTCCCTGAACCTGATATGACTATTCACCGCTATAAACTGTACTGCAACATGGCTCACTTCTGGAAAGTTCTGGAAATTATAAGAAAACCAGGTGACAAGGAGAGCTAATGAGCCAATGTAAAGCTTTTACCATAGCTAGAAAAATAAGCCACAGTTTATGTTCTGCTGATGACTGCCTGTGGATGGTTGTCTTCACCTAGGAAGGCTAACCCGCTGTTGTTTCTTTTCTGCAGCGTAAAGGTAGGGAGGTGGTGATAGAGCACCCCTCTTCAGGAAGTGACTGGTCTGATGTGGATGAGGTCTCCACAGTCAGATTCTCTCAGGAGGAGCCTGTCTCGCTGAAACCCTCAACAGTTCCAGAGCCACCCTCCTTCACCACTGACTATGTCATGTACCCGCCTCATTTGTACAGTAGTCCTTGGTGTGACTACGCCAGCTATTGGACCAGCAGCCCTAAGCCTTCTGGCTACCCCTCCGTGGGCAGCAGCAGCAGCAGCAGCAATGACACAGCCCAGGCTGGGAGGAGCAGCCGGAGTCTCCTGAGTGATTATTCCCCCAATTCTACAGTGAGCTCCCAAAACACCTCCAGAGACCTAGAGGCCACAGAGGAAGGCCGATCCCAGAATTCTCGTTCATTTCTTTTCTCCAGAAGCTTGGAAGAAGAGGTTAAGGGGAAAAGAACATTCCAAGAAGAGACACCACCACGTTCTTGTGGAGGACAAGCATCCAGCTCCCTGCGAAGGAGCCACCGGGAGCCAAGCCTAGAGGAGGGTTTCATTGATACCCATTGTCACTTGGACATGCTCTATTCCAAGCTGTCTTTCAAAGGGACCTTTTCCAAGTTCAGAAAGATTTATAGCAGCTCCTTCCCTAAGGAATTTCAAGGCTGCATCTCTGACTTCTGTGATCCTCGGACACTGACAGATTGCCTGTGGGAGGAGCTGTTGAAAGAGGATCTGGTTTGGGGGGCCTTTGGCTGTCACCCTCATTTTGCACGTTACTACAATGAGAGCCAAGAAAGAAATCTCTTGCAAGCCTTACGGCACCCCAAAGCTGTGGCATTTGGGGAAATGGGCTTGGATTATTCTTACAAGTGCACCACACCTGTCCCAGAGCAACACAAGGTAACGAGGCTCTCTTTAGTCTGCTTATGGTTTTGATTCTTGTTTTAGTTCTTAACATAACAGTAAGGATTTCTCTGCTTTTGGAACTAAAGAATTTAGGATTCCCCCAAATTCACTTGCTCCCTCTGCAGACCATCTTGATGTCATTTGTCAAACGCTTCACAAGTTATACCTTATCTTTCAGCTTTATGATGTAAGAGTGGGGAGAGGTACTTTGTGACTTCTTCTGGCTGATATCAGTGTCACAACATTGGTTTTCTTTCCTTCCTGGGAAGCAACAAACTTAGAGTTTAAAGTTAAATATGCCCATTGCAGAGTATTTGAGAAATCCAAAAATGTATATAAAGAAGATAGTTTCCTATTCAACCAAAGATAATGACTATAACCATCTTAATGCATTTTCTTTCCAATGTGTTTTGAACATGGCACTTTGGCAGGTTAAGAGTCATTGCAGCATTTCTTTCTTTCTTTTTTTTTTTTTTTTGGTGGCTGGTTGGTATGGGTGTTGCAGCATTTCAGTGGAAATTTCTGATTTGGAAGGAGCAGGACGAGGAGAACGACCCTCCCACTCCATCCTTCTCCTGGTTCCCAGGTTGAATTTGTGGTTGGAAGATGTGTGCTGCCTTCCTGTAGCTGCACAGAAGCCTTCTAGGTCTGGGTCTGTGTGCCAACAGGCTCCAGGCCTTGGGGAGTGGGAGTGTGGATTCCAGCCTGCACAGACTTTGGCACAGCAGCTTTCCCTTTGGAGCTGTCTCAAATCTGGCTTGAGGCAGGACTTTATTGGCCAGAAGAGAATAGTAAAATAACTAAATCTGAACACATAGGAAAAGTAGATTTTTAGGAAAGTGAGACAAATATTTTATGTTCTCTTTTCTCATCTGGTTTCTATGGTGTGGGGCAGATGTGGAACAGTTCAGAAATGTACACTCAGGGGAGTATTATGTTTGATTGTGTAGCTGATGTTTATTAAATGCCTTCTTGGTACCAGGAAATGTGCTAAGTGTTTCACAGTAACTTTTTCCTCAGATGCACATATAAAGGTACATGGGGCATGCTGCACAACAAACAACTTGAAGTGATAGCACAGGGTGAGAAATGCAGTCTTGCAGATGTTGTCTGGTTTGATGAGATGGGACTGAAGACTGGAAAATGATGAGTCAGAGGAAGTAAATTGCTAGCTAGGGGAGGGCAAATCCCCATGGAGAGAGATGAGAAAATATTTCTGTAGACACTAGACTTCTAGGCTGGATGGAGGAAGTGGATGATGTGTTCTTGATAGAAATCTAAAAGTCAGTACCCTAGCAGTATAAATGGTGGTGACTAGCAACTGCATGAGTTGGATGTGTGCACTGAGTGGCATTGCCTAAAAGCAGAGTGGTCAGCAAGTTCTTGATGTGTGATGAATGCTTTATCTTGTGAAGGGAAGAAGGAAAGCCTGTGGAAGGACTGTATCTGGCCAAGCTGATAGGGTGCCACATCTGACTCATTATAAGAGAAAGCTTGGTTTCTTTACCCAACATTTTCTGGAAGAATTGGAAAATAGAGAAAAGCAAAAGAATTGGGAAAAAATGCTGTTATACTGCTACCTAGAACAGACCACTGTTAACTTTTTCCTTGTTTACCTGTGTGTTTACAGTTAACTCTAACTCCGTTTAACTCCTAAGGGTTAGGAGTCTGGAGTTTAGATAGTTAGAGTCTTGATAGTTTGTGTTTAAGTTGCACATGTCAGCCAATATGATTACCAGAATCCCTCGGTATCTGGGAGGGATGCCAAGGAGAATAGACTGTCTTTTCCCACCCAGGCTACATCTGTCTTTATGTTTGAGTGGAATTTATTATTAAGGTAATAAATATGCAAGCAGTGCCTGGGGCCACTGATCAACTCTGGAATCCTTGGAAATAATGGATCAGTTGGGAACACGTGTTTATGCAGGAGGAAGAGAGTAAATATGCTGGGTAAATAACTTATCTGCACTTTATTCACTCCCGTTCTTCAGCTGGGTTCCTGGTGAGGACAAACACTGTAGATAGCTCCAATTCAGCCACAAACTCTGCATTCTAATGAATTCTTCCTCCATCTGAACATTTTTGAAATTTGGATATGTTTTACAAAACATTGTAAATTTAATGTTATTCTTCTTTGGAAAGTTGCAAGGGACAATTGGTGGCTTGTTTTACAAGCACCTATCATAGAATCAAGGAACCGTGTTTTATGTATGTGCTTTTTTAAAGAAAGAAATTAGGAAGTTAAAAAAAAAGTTTTGAATGATTTTTCCACTTGTGAAAATTTTCCTGTTTCATTAACTATACTTTGAAAAATATGCTTTTTAACAGCTGTGTAATATTCCACCTTGAGGCTATAATAGTTTGCTTACCGACTCTAAGGAATAATTTTTGAGGGGCAGGAATTAAAAGGTGGAACCGGAATCTTTTAAAAACCTCCTCTCTCGGTAGGGGTCATAGGAGGGCAAATGAGCACTTAGCAGATGCATCTAGGAGGGGATCCAGCCACCTATAGGTGCTGGAACTAGCTGGTCTTTAAAGCCCTTACCAAGCCTTCCATGACTTTAGTGTCTGTGGTCATTTTTTTTCTTAGTTGAAAACACAGGTTAAACAAAAGTTACATCAGCACTGGTATTGGCTTATTGTCACTGTTGAGTAGTACAAGCATTGTACATGTCATTCTCAAGTGAACATCATCTGACTCAGATTACCAAAAGCATCTCATTATTTGATGCTGCACATGCAAAAATAAATTAAATTCCACAACTGAAAAAACTTCTCATGAAAACATTAAGTTTAAAATGAAGTAATTTGCTTATAATGAATTAATACTTTTATTCTTTGTTCTTAACCTGGTCTTAGAGGAAAGGACAGGTTCTAGCCATACTTTTTTCATTTAAATTATTATTATTATTATTTTTTCCTTTTTGTCTTTTTTCGTGACCTGTAACGGGATTGCAACCCTCAGTGTCGCGCCCGTACTGTGACCGGCAACGGGATCACAACCCTTGGTGTCGCGCCCGTACCGCACTCAACCAGTGAGTGGACAGGTCTCTATATGGGATCCGAACCCTCGGCGGGAGCGCCCCCGCACTCCCAAGCGCCGCACTCTACGGAGTGCGCCACCAGGCCGGCCCATTCATTTAAATTATTAACAATATGTGTATCTTACTACTGAAGATGTAAATGTGCTTAGAGTTTTTTTAAAAAAATGAAGCATACCTGTAGGTATTGACCTAGCCTGTTTGATTTTGGTTGAGTAAAGAAAGCAAGTTGTAGAAAATAAGCATAGTATTCGTTCCTTCAAAAAAATATTTGGGCACTTTCTTAGAGCCAGGCATTATGCTGGAGAAACACACACAGCTCTGCATAGGCAAAGGTCTGGAAGTTGATTACCTCTTGGGAGTAGTGATGAGGACAACGAGGTGAAGGACATTAACTTTGAACTTTGTGTTCTTGATCCCTGCCCTGGGCCCACAACCCCAAATAAGTGTCGCATAATGGTTACTGTGGACTGCCTGGGTTCGAATTTGAATCCTGGCTCTATAGCCTACTAGCTGCACTTTACTTGCCTTCACTTGGAGCCTCAATGTCTTAGACTGCATGATGGGCTAATAGCAGAACCTACTGCAGGATTCTGTGAGGATTGCAGGTTATAAACATCTGAAGTGCTCTGAGCACTCCCTGGCTTTATAGTAAGTGCCTGGTAAGCATTAGCTATTATTAATGCATTATACAGTTTAAAAATAAAATAATTGGAGGTAGTGGGGATACCCATTGGACTGGGTGTTCCAGAGGTAACAGAATTCTGAAGTGCCACTAACTGGCAGGTGTTACTTTGTCTTCTCCCAGGTATTTGAGAGACAGCTGCAGCTGGCTGTTTCTCTAAAGAAGCCCTTGGTGATTCACTGCCGAGAAGCTGATGAAGATCTGCTGGACATTATGAAGAAGTTTGTGCCCTCTGACTACAAGATCCATAGGTTAGAAGGCTGAAACTGCAAAAGAAACACTTCCCTTTGTCTAGGACGTTAGTTGGAAGAAGACTCGACAAGAACAATGATAACATTCTGTCTCTGTATAGTGTGTTTCCTAAATAATTGTTAGGTTGAACCATGTGAAATTTCTGACATTAGACGTTTTTTGCTTACAAAACAGCATCTTCATATGGTTCAAGCTAATACTCTAATTACTAAAGAGCAAGAAGGGGCTCTTGTGATCCCCTTCCTGGGTGGCAGGCTAACATGGAGTCTCAGTTCTCAGAAATGAGGACCGTTGATCTTGGTAGAGGCTGCTGTGAGGTCCATGGCTTCTTAGCAGAAGACATTTCAGGGTGCCTGAAAAGACATTTTCTTTTCTCTTTTGAATTTGAAAGCTGCTTTCCTCCCAGTTAGCATTAATAAAGTCCAGGATGAGTTTTATCTGAATAGTATCTAGGGGTTCTTAAGTTCAGTTTGGTAAACTCCTTCTGAACTCCTACCATGTGTATGTACCAGGCATTGGTTTGGTTCTGGGGACACCCTGGAGGAGCTGCCAGAAGAAGGATGGGTCAGCTAGTGGCTTCTGTGTACATAGGGTTTAGGGCTGAGGTGGGCATAGGTGCTGTGGGAGCCAGAGCAGGGACTGTTTAGCTTAGCCCAGTGAGAAGGGGTCAGGAGATGATGCCTGAGTTGGCTCCTGAAAGATGGGTAAGAGGGGTTCACTGAAAAAACAGAGTCCAGACCCCAAAGTTGGACTTGTCTGATGGCAGTGGGGGATGGGGATGGCAGGCCTCTATACTGCTGCTTGAAGGTGCCTGAGCGGTGAAGCCTCTGATCCCTGACTGTGGCAGTGTACACACCAGAAATGAGGCACTGTCACTTGGCTCCTTTGGGCTGTTTGGTTGGGTTTTCCTTGCTTCATTTTGGGCTGACATTATAGTTCATCTAATGGTAGCAAGTAGAACACGGCTAAGACTGACCAATGAGGTGTTATGGCTGGAGGAAGCCCTGAATTTTTCCAGATTGGTTAATGATATACAGTTGACCCTTTAACAACATGTGTTTGAACTGTGTGGGTCCACTTATATGCAGGGTTTTTTTTTCAATAAATACATGTACAGAACTATAAATGTATTTTCCTTATGATTGTCTAAACATTTTATTTTCTCTAGCTTGCTTCATTGTGAGAATAGTGTCTAATATACAACGTACAACACATGTGTTAATCATCTCTTTATGTTATTGGTAAGCCTTCCTGTCAACAGTCAGTTAATAGTAGTTAAGTTTTGGGGGAGTCAAAAGCTATGTGCGGATTTTTGACTATGCAGGAGGCCAGTGCCCCCACCTCTCAAATTGTTCAAGGATCAACTGTATGTTGCACTAAGAAAATTCACCTGTAGTCCACTCCACAATATTTTCATTATTTGTTTCTTTCCAGTTAATTTGACTACATATGCATAATTTTTACATACTACAGTTGTTATATTAGAGGGCCACCTTTTAAAATTCTGCTTTTCTTTTCATGTGATAAGTATACCCTATCCCTGTGTTTTTGCTGTATATTCTTTGTGATCATTTCAATTGGCTGTGTAGTGTTCTGCGTCACTCACTAAGTGTTGTCTTGGGTCTTACGTGTTGGAGACAGCTAGCTCTTGTCTATATTTACCATGGAGTCCTTCTCTGGGATGCAGTCTTTTCCTCTTGTGGGACTCATTTAGGGGTAATAGGTCTAGAAGTAGTTTGGGGGCTGCTGCAGAGGGGACTGAGAGTGATCCCTGATCTGGAGTTCTCTCCTCCAGGCATTGCTTCACTGGCAGCTACCCAGTCATCGAGCCCCTCTTGAAGCATTTTCCCAACATGTCTGTGGGCTTCACAGCAGTCCTGACGTACTCTTCCGCCTGGGAGGCCCGGGAAGCTCTGAAACAGATCCCGCTGGAGAGAATCATTGTGGAAACTGATGCTCCCTACTTCCTCCCTCGCCAGGTAGGGGTGTCTTCAGGCTGAGTTGAGTTACTGAGGAGAGAGGGTGGGGAGGTGGGCAGTCACCCTTAGAAGGTTGGCAGGGCCAGAGCCCCAGTGACTTCCAGGTCTCACCCTGGGCTGTGTAGATGTCTCCTCACTGTTGCTCTGCAGAACCAAAAGTCTAGGGGGCTGAGAAGCTGAAGGGTAACCACTCTCTTCCAGGCAGTGCAAAGCCCTACCCTGTAGAGGGTAGTCCAAGGAAGCGTGGGACCCTGCTCACCCCGAGCCCCCCATGACTAGGACTCTTCCTGCACCTGCAGGTAAAGGGGTCTCTACAGGACAGCCCCAAAGAGGTCCTTGCTGGGGAAGGGCCAGGGAGGGAGTTGTATGTTAATGGCTGTGCACAGAAGGCACAGTGATGTTATGAATGCTTTATGTCTTCCAGGTTCCCAAAAGCCTCTGCCAGTATGCCCACCCAGGTCTGGCCTTGCATACGGTTCGAGAGATTGCCAGGGTCAAAGATCAGCCTCTCTCCCGCACCTTGGCCACCTTGCGTGAGAACACTAGTCGCCTCTACAGTCTTTAAGCAGAGGGCACAATCTGGAATCTCTCAGAAAAGGTTATAAAATTCATTTTATATATTTTAAAAATCAGGATGAACAAGTCTTTTGTTGCATTTTCTTAAGGTAAAGAATATGAACATAGGGTGAGCATTAAGCCTGATTTGTCTTGTGTGAACTTGGTTTGGAAACTTACTCCTTTTCTCTTCCAAACCCTCCAGGGCGAGCAGCAGCCTGACATAATATAGGCTGGGTTCGAACTCTGCCTGTGTCCCAGGTCAAGAATGTGTTTGGAGAGCCCATTGGAACAGAGAAAACCAGGACAGGATGTTTTCCTTGAAACCTCGTCATAAGGCTTCAGCTTCTGGCTGGTGGGTGGGGTGAGGTTCAGTGGAGTGGGTGTGGGATGAGGGTGAGGGGAACTGCCCAAAATATCTGGGTTTTGCTTCCCAGTCAGAATGCTTCCAGGTAGTCAGTGAAGAAAGTGTGATATAAGGATACAACGAGTTTGCCAATCCAAATCCCTCCTCTCTGCAACCTGTGTTTTTGAGCAGTCCATGAATAAAGTCACCCTCCTACTTGTGGGTGTGTAACTCAGTTCCTGGTTCTCAGTTCTGAAAATGAACTCCCAAGTGGGAAATCTCTTGGGAGAAATTGACTGGAGACCTGTCTCAGAGATTCATTTTCTTGCAACCAGTGAAGTCATCCTCTTTCCTTCCTGGATAACTCTTCAATTTGGCTGTCACTGTTCTGGTGTCAACTCCAGCATCGTCACAGACAGAAGGACTTTGGTGGCTGGTCTTATTGGTTCCACTGCCATCAGTATGGAGGTGTGCAGAGGGTCGCTTATTGTCCGTGGAAAGTCCTGGCTGGAGATCCAGGACAGATTGGGGGACTCCAGGAAGAGGCCTTCTTGAGGAAGAGGACCCCAAAGGAGGTATTTCCTACTTACTGATGCCCCCAATTTGCAGCAGATGCTACCTGTTAGTCTGGTATCAAGGAGTCCCAGCTTCTCTTTGCACCATTTGTGCCCCCTTCTCCTGGCACACCTGACCAAAAGTAATCCTTCTGTTTCATCCCATGTAACAGCCCCTTGTGTGCCCCACCCAGATTGAGAGGTAAATAAATTTGATTATCCAAGCTCTGCTGGGGCCACTCAACCACGTTACATTGCCTATGCAGAACAAGCAGGCCTGGTATCTCACTTGCCTTTGCCTCTTATGTGTCCTATTTTTCTCTGTGTTTTAGAAGTGAGAACCTCTCCTTTCACTTTTGATCAACCGTGTCATCTCAAGTTGAGCTCTGCTCTGCTGCCTGTTTGTGCTTTGTAAAGGTATATTTATTACAGGCCCTAGGGGTTAAACTGGTTCAGGGTTAAGTGTAAAGAGACTGCGCTTGGTCCAAAAGGATCCTTCGCCCTAATCTCCCACAGTGAGACAGATAGACTACTCCAAATTCCTTGTCTGTTTCTTGGAGGCTTAAATTGTAAAATCCATCATTTATGGTGGGTTCCATCACTTATAGTTATTTATGGAAGGCACATTTGAACCTTGTAAGCTAAAATGGAGAAATGAAGTGGATTTAATATTTCCTATCTGGTATTTCCATTTGGCCCCTGGTACATAAGTAGCTGGCCTAGGAAGTAGGCCTTGATTCACTGTCCATCTTCCATGGAGCAGCTGTGCTGTTAGGTTGTCTATGTCTCAAATTTGCCAATGGGGAATCAGGGGGATCTTGATCTCCTGCTTGGAAGATTTGGGGAACTGCTAAGTATATCTCCAAATGCTTTATTGTCACCCAAGTGAACTGCAGCATAGCTATCTTCTCTACCACAAGCCTTGTTCGTCAGTTCTGCCTACATGTGAACCAACTAGCCCTGCATTAGACTATTAAAAGCGATGACCAAATGGATGCCTCCAAGCCTGTGCAGTCTGTCTGCCAAGGAAAAGCACAAGGTGCTATTTACTTTTATCTCTAGGATTTAGGATTATCATTTATGTGCTGTTACACAGTGAAACCTTACCTGTGTGGGCATGAAAGCTGGTTGGCATTATTCTTGATTTAGTTTTTTGGATGGTTGATTTGATTGTTTTTGCTGTGCTGTGTCTGTATCTCTTCCCTTCTTTGGCCATCTCTGTGGAAATAAAGTGATAGATCCTCTAGCCAACTCCCATGCTCTCCATGTTTGTGTAGATTTCTTGGAGTTGATACAGTGGTTTAGTCTGGTTGGTGGCCAGCTTTGTAACCTGAGAATCCAAATGTCTGGAGACATTCTTGAGTACACACGAGCCTCTGTCAAATTAAACTGCATGTAAGAATACGTGGTACCTTCTTAACAAGTTCTACTGCCTTGGAGCATAAACTCTCATTTCACTTTCATGTACTGCTACTGCTACTTCTTAAGCTTTGAAAAGTACATAGATACCTTCTTTTCCTCTTTTTTTTTGTTTAATTTTCCCAGAGCGATGAAGTAGGAGGGAGAAAAAATCCAGTACATGGGGGTGTTGATGAGTCAGTTGTACGGTGGGTTTTGTACTTTGCACTCCTCTGATGTTTCTGGGTAAACTTTGGAGGAAATTCTGTTTCACTGCTGGAAGTCAGTCTTCTTAATTTGTACTAAGTCATTCTTGAATACAAGTACATAAGCCAAAAGTTAAACCTACATGTGAAAAGGAAAGCTCTCTTCCAAGAATGCTAAACAGGTTCAAATTTCTGTTGCTGCCTCATCTTTTAGACACACTCATTGATTATGTATTCTCAGTGTATACCTTAACTTTGTCTCAGTTCCTTCCCAGTTGAACATAAGATTGACTATTTCACTCAGTGATAGTCTATTTGTGGCCAAAGCTCTGCTCTTGGCTTCTCTAGTGTTTCCATCTTTCTGTATGAAGTTTGAGACTGATACTAATCATTTGCTGTCAGCACTTTCATTTTTGCATCATTCATTTTTATAAAGTAAGGGCAAATGGCCACTGGAATATACAGTGATTCAGTAAGCAAACTCTGTCAAACAAAGATGATGATCAGTGGCCAGCCAGCCCCTCCGTGGTCACAGTAAATGCCCATTTGTCAGTGATGTTTGAAAGCGCATTCAGATGAAGGAAGGTAGTTTTGTATGGGTGTCTTCACTCTTCTGTTTGCCCAGTCATAAGAGAATCTTTTTTTTTTTGTGACCGGTAAGGGGATCGCAACCCTCGGCATGGTGTTGCCCGCACCACGCTCAGCCAGTGAGCTCACCGGCCATCCCTATATAGGATCTGAACCCACGGCCTCGGTGCTACCAGTGCTGCACTCACCCGAGTGAGCCACGGGGCTGGCCTGTCATAAGAGAATTTCTAAACATATACCTATAAATGTATACTAAGTTAAATACATGTGCTGCTATACTAATTATAAAACACAAAGTACAAGTTTTTTCATAAAAACAATTTGTTTCCCCAGCAAATATCTTGCTCACCTCAGGGGTATATATGTCCCACTTCAGAGACCCTTAAGTTAGTGGTATTATAAAATAATGCATGGAGGAGTAGATTTCAGAAAGCTGACATAAAAAACATGTTTGAAATGATACATTTTCTCAAGGGTGGCCCCTAACCATTTTCTTTGATAAATTTTATTTCTGCCCATTGTTGACTTGAAATTGTCTTCCACCCCCCTATCCTCCCGACACCAAATTCCATTGATGTATTACAAGGAAAATGAAAAATAAAAACAAAAATCCCTTGAGTCCTAGACAGTAGGGCAAGGGAAGCAACATTGACCAGGAGGTGGTAGAATATGATGGAAAAAGCCTGCACTGGAGCTCTACAGCTCTGGTTATGAGTCTGCCATGTATTTGTTATGTGACCTTGGGAACATTTACATAGCAAATCCATGGCACTTTAGTTTTCTCCCTCTTAAGTAGGCTTGCTGTGAAAATTAACTGAAATTCCATTAGTCTACATAGGTATTTAGAACAGTGCCTGGTCAACAGGAATGCAGGGAATGGTGGCTGTTATAATAATTGAATGCCTACTATGTGCCACATGCTTTTGTGGGAGTTGTGATGTTCAGTCTTAACAGATTTTAGTCTGGGTCATACAGCTGGTGTTCAAATTCAGGTCTGAGTCCAAGCCCATAGCTTTGCACCACACCTTGTTGCCTGGCACTGATGAGAGTACCCAGTCCAGAGTCGGTGCTCAGTGTTTGTTTCTTGAATGATTGACCTGGGCAAGAGAATTGGGGAGAGAAGTGAGTTCTTGTCTTTGGTAGCAGAAACATCAGATGACTAGCATTTTCCCCAGGGTCTAGTACCCATCCTCCCCCAAGCCCAATCAGTGGATGTGCTCTCACCAGGTCAGGAGCTGGTATCCTGGCCACTTTGACCACACTTGAGCCTTGGATCCTCTTTAGCTATTGAGAAGAGGGCTGTGAGCATGGTGAGTGACAACCAAGTGATGGAGCTGGGATATGTCTAAGTTCCAGGACAAGCGTGTTAATCTCTGCATCAGTGCTGGGTGCCTGGGGAGGCAGGGGGCTGGCTATCTGGAGGCTGAGGAACGTCCTTCCCTCCACATCTGCTTCCTTTCTCCCTCCTCCCTCTCTTCCCCCACTTTATTTACACTCCAATATCTTTAATTTCTTTAATGATGACAAAATCTTTCCATTTATGGTCATTATGAGGCTTAGAGGCAAATGTTTTTGGGAGCAAGAACAGTGAACTAAGTCACTATATAGTCATATAGTTGTATCTATATAGTTGTCTTAGGGATGGAAGAGAGTGTGTGCGCGTGTGTGCATGTTTGCCCAGGGAACAGACATGGAGTTGACAACAGAGCTGGGGCTACAGAGATTGGGGGGAGGTGAAAGGAAACGGGATACCTTTTTCATGTGTTCCCAGCTTTGCTGAGAACCCCACCTGTCCTGATCTGAATTTCCTTGAGTTTTATTATAGTCAATACCTGTTCCATGCTAGGTGGGGTCACCTGGTCCTACAGTGTGCTGTGCTGCATGAATATGATCCAGTTCCCTCTAAGCCATTTAATAGCCTAGGGATCTTCATAAAATGCAGATCCTGATATAGTAGGGCAGGGGTGGAGCTAAGATTCTGCATTTCTAAGAAGTTCCCAGATCATGGTAATATACCATGGACCACAGACACACAGTTCCTCTATGAGAGATGGCAGTTGGGTTTTGGTGTGCCCACCAGGTCTGGTCAGTGGTTAGTGATGGATTTTGGACATGACCGGCGCCATTGTGCACACAATGAGCACAAAATAGCCGCCGGCTTCGTATTCCACTCTAGCACCAAGCCCCGCCCCACTTCCCTTTATGAGAAGCCTCCTGACTTGAATAGAAACCCCTTTTGCTTCCACAAGGATGCAGTTTTTCCACCCCAATCCACATTAGCATAATGACCCTCCTTGATGGTATCAGCCAGCCCTTGGTGCAATGAGAAGCCTCCTGACTTGAATAGAAACCCCTTTTGCTTCCACAAGGATGCAGTTTTTCCACCCCAATCCACATTAGCATAATGACCCTCCTTGATGGTATCAGCCAGCCCTTGGTGCAATGAGAAGCCTCCTGACTTGAATAGAAACCCCTTTTGCTTCCACAAGGATGCAGTTTTTCCACCCCAATCCACATTAGCATAATGACCCTCCTTGATGGTATCAGCCAGCCCTTGGTGCACTATATAAGCTCTACCACCCCCACGCCTGGTGCTGTCCCCCATTTTCAGGGCAGCCCCAGGCTGTCCTCTATTTTGAGTACAGCCCGGCAGATTTCTTTCTTTAATAAAGCTTGAATGGTACCCAGCATCTCAGCTCACTTTCATTATGGTGCCTAAACCCAGGAAGGGTTTTGGCCAATGTTGTGGATGATCCCCTCTCTTGGGGTGATTGGCCCTCGGCCGCCCTTCCTGGACCTGCCGAAACCAGATGCCTCCAGGACTCTTTCTACTTTTGCTGTTTCAGACCAACGCATCCAACACCGGCCTCAATTCAGGGTGATTCAGTGGGTCTGTCCTGCCTACTTCTATGGGTTCCCCCAACTACTCTCTACAATTCCCATCTCTATGAAGCCCAGGCACCTGGCCGAGGGAACTCTTCTTGTGCCCCCCAGCTATTGGAGGATGTTCCTCTACCTGGTTGGTAGCTTTTCTCTCAAAAAGAAGGTGGACAGCAGAGAGAGGACTCTCTCTGTTGGCATGCTTCTACCAGGACTGACTGCCCTTTTTCACCCTCTAAATGGGATCCCCACAATCCAAACCTCCACGCTCTACGCCCTTGGGCTGTCTCCTGGCCAATTTTTTGGCTTCCAGGGAGACATTAAACCTAAACATCCCGTTTTCTACTGCACTCTGTGCTCTATGCCTCTGGGCCATCTCCTGGCCAATTTCTTGGCTTCCAAGAGATAACAAGTGTCCCCCAGCAAGGCCCAAATTTCTTCTCCTTCAGTCACCTACTTGGGAGTCCACTTCACCCCCAACACCAGAGAAATAATGGTGGATCACAAAAGTTTAATTTTGGAACTCCCTACTCCTACCACAAAGAGTAAAATTCTTTCTTTCTTGGGGCTTGCAGGGTATCTTTGCCTATGGATTCCTAACTTTGGTGTGCTAGAAAAGCCACTTTATGGGGCAGCCAAAGGGGATCCTGCCATTCCCTTAGATCCCACAAAGCTCATTCATTCTCCCTTCCAGTGATTAAAAGTGGCTGTCCTTGCAGCCCCAGCTCTATCTCCCAAACTTATCTCATCCTTTTATCCTATTTGTCACTGAAACCCAAGGATTGTAAGTCGGGGTTTTGGGACAAAAGGCAGGAGATATTTTCTCCCTGCTTACATACCTCTCTAAACAACTAGACACCACAGCTAGAGAATGGGACCCTGTTTACAGGTCTTGGCAGCAGCCACCCTTTTAGCACAAGAAAGCTCTAAACTAACTTTTGGACAACAAACTGTCAAGACCTTCTCGGCCATAAGGCCAAGTCAATTCTCTCCCCTTCCTGCCAACAACTTATTCACCTTACTTTCATTGAGAATTCCCAGTTTTCCTTCAAACCTTGCCCTTCCCTTAAATCCGGCCACTCTCATCCCAAAACACTGATGACCCTTAAAACACAATTGCGTGGAGGCTTTACACCTCTTTCTCAATCCCTTTCCACACATCTCCCTGCATCCCATTACGTGGTTCATAGATGGGAATGCCACCTGCATGCCCGCCCTCCAGGCGGGTTATACCATAGTAAATCTAACAAGCTATTGAGGCTGCACAACCCCCAAAGGAGGGTAGGGTTATACACTGCAGAGGACACCAAACCTCCAACGACCCCATAGCCCAGGGCAATAAACTGGCAGATGTAATTGCAAAACAGCCTGCTTAACCACCAGGCTCCCACTCTTCCTCTCCTGCTCAGGTCCTTCTCATGGCCCCCATGCCCTTATCCCAATAAACACCCCAAGAAATATACCACCTCCAACAGTTGCGGGCACAGAGAAAGGACAACTGGTGTACTCTGGTCGCTATGTTCTCCCTACTACACAAACTGAGCAAATCCTTTTAGATTTTCATCATTCAGTTCATATAGGCTATGAACCCCTACTATGCCTTCCTCAGCCCTTATATTACTCTCCCCACAAAAGGACACTCTATCTTCTTAGTAGATACCTTTTCAGGTTGGATTGAGGCTTTTCCCTGCACTTCAGAGGATGCTACAACAGTAACACATGCTCACACCTCAGAAATCATCCCTCGTTTTGGCCTACACACCAGTCAGTCACTCGCTGACAGGCTGCTCCTCGCAAGCCCACAGGCCTCAGCCCCCTCGAACTTATGTATGGTAGTCCCTTCAGTCTCACACCTCTCCCTTCCAGCCTATCACCTTTAGGCCAGTATCTCCCTACTCTTTCGCTCATTAGGGATCTTCTTAGGGAACAGGCCAACCTTCTATTACCTCATCCTTTCCCCACCACCCCCTCAGACTTTAAATTGAGCCTGGGACAGCAAGTGTGTATTAAGACCCGAATCCCAAAGCCTCTCTTGCCATGTTGGGAAGGGCCTTATACAGTACTTCTCACCACCCCCATGGCAGTAAAAGTACTAGGAAATGCCCCTTGGTATCACTTATCCTTGGTAAAACTAGCACCTGAGACTTTACCCAAAGAATCTGTTAACACCAAGCCAGAGGGGTCCCTCTGCTCACACCCCAACCTGACATCTCTTCACACTTTGTCCATTTTAGGACCCACAAAACTGAAAATCTCCAGGACCTCTGCTCTTCCCCCAATCCCAGAAGAAGGATGATCTTTCCCCTGGCGATTATGCTCTCGCTCTTGCAGCCCGCTTCACATCCTTCACACAAGAGCTACTATTATACTATCTGTTCTAGTACTTGCTACAGGATTGGCAGAAGCTGCCCCAAAAGAGTGTAACATTATGAGAAGATTTCTCCTGGCACTTCTTTACTTCCTATCCGTAGGATGCTTCTTAACGATTTCATTGTGGCAATGCCCCCTTTAAATTCTTTGGCTCCCTAACCCTTTGCATCCTTCCCGTGTTTTCCCTCCTATCTCAATGCTCCCCCTTACCTGGAACATGGAGGTTTCAGGTCCACAGGGATGATGTAGTCCTCAGCAAATCAGACTGGTCCCCGAGTGACTCATTTGTCTCCCATTTCGTGAGAAACTTTTTGTGGTCACCGCCCTCCCTGTCGATGCAGCCCACAACGTTTCCACATGCGTCTCTTCACATGCCCCAAATGCTACTACTCACTTACCCCCTCCTCATCCATGCTGTAAAACTGGAATAAATTTCCTTTGTAAAACTACGTTATCCTGTTGTCTGCCCCCCCCCCCAACGCGATTTCTTGCTTATTCTTTTGGCTTGTCCCTGACATCACCCTCCAGACAGATGGAGGGATGGAGATGAGACTGAGACTAACTTCGGCCCCTCCCTCTCAGGAATTGCCCCTGCTCCTATAGGGCACTAATTGTACCTTTTAACTGGGGCAGGGATCCTTCCTGCAACTGGAACTGGCATAGTGGGCCTTGCTACTGCCTCTCAATTCTATCAAAAACTCTCAGAAGAACTAAGTATAGATAGCACCTACTCCCTCCAGTGACAGGTCACTTCACTCACAACAGTCACTTTCCAGAACCGTCGGGCCCTTTACTTCCTCACAGCTGAGAAGGAAGGCACCTGCCTCTTCTTGGGGGAGGAATGCTGTTATTCTGTAAATGAGTCCAGGGTGATCCAAAACAATTAAACCATTTCACTGAACCCTTGGATACCCTGGCTTATGTCCCTACTGGAACCCCTAAATGGGCCTCATCCTACTTTTTGGTCCCTGTCTCTTTTGGTGTTTCTCTAATTTCTTGCAGGAACATATACAGGCTTTCACCAGCCAAAAGGTCGCCAAATTGTTCCTGTGAGGAGGATATCAGCCCCTCAGAAACAGCGACCCTTCCCCGGAGGAATACAACCTACCCACACAAAACCAGTACCCCGCCACCTAATTGTTTTGCCCACCAACATAAATCTTTTATTTTTTCATATCTTCACCCTTCTCCAGCAGGAAATAGCTTCAGAAAAATGAGACCTTCGTCCCTTTTCCCTTCTTCTTATACTTGAAAGGCAGGAATGATGGATTTTGGATGTGACCCGCGCCATTGTGCACACAATGAGCACAAAATAGCCGCCTGCCTCGTATTCCACTCCAGCACCAAGCCCCTCCCCACTTCCCTTTACGAGAAGCCTCCTGACTTAAACAGAAACCCCTTTTGCTTCCGCAAGGACACAGTTCGCCACCCTGATCCACATTAGCACAATGACCCTCCTTGATGGTATCAGTGAGCCCTTGGTGCACTATATAAGTTCTACCACCCCCACACCTGGTGCTGTCCCCCATTTTCAGGGCAGCCCCAGGCTGTCCTCTATTTTGAGTACAGCCGGCAGATTTCTTTCTTTAATAAAGCTTGAATGGTACCAGGCATCTCGGCTCACTTTCTTTCAGTTAGTGCCTTGAGTACTAGGTGGCCAGAATTTTAGTTGAGGGGGCACTTGGCTTCAAGACCCCTCTGTGATAGGAGTTTTCCAGAGTGTGGACATTACCCCAACTCCATCTCTGTAGAGGGTTTCCTACATATTTCTTTTTTTCTCCCCTACATAATGTGCTTGGTTGGTAACCTACTTTTTCTAGTAAGTATTCATATGTCTGAATTGGCAAGTTGGCAGTGCTTATTTTGGTTGTCTTCCTCCCCTTAGTGATGTGTCCCATCCATCATCATCAGCACTCGGAAATCAGTCTACATGTTTGCACCAAGGTGTGCGTGACTGATGAATGACATTCCTCCCAGGAGGACTGTTGTTCTAACTGGAATTAAGTTTTGGAATGTAAGGGTCAAGGCTCATCAGCTGTGACCTAGAGCTGTAGAAGATGTTTTGGGATACCTACCTGGTGTCAATGAAGTAACCAAGGCAAGAGGCAGCCTTGTCCGCTGCTTTGCCAGGCCTTTTCAATAGTGGACAAGGAGGAAGGAGAACGTAATTATTTCACCGCTGTCTAGCAGTGTTAAGAGCCATTGCTAGGCACGTCAGTATGTCTAACTTCAAATTCATTCCTTGGCACTCCCTTCATCCTGTTTTTTTTTTTTTGTCTTTTTTCCGTGTCCGGCAACGGATCGCAACCCTCAGTGTTGCCCCCGTACCGGACCGGGGACCGGCAACGGGATTGCAACCCTCGGTGTTGCTCCCGCGCCCCGCTCAGCCAGTGAGCGGGAACCGGTCCGTATGTGGGATCCGAACCCTCGGACGGGAGCGCTGCCGCGCTTCCCAAGCGGCGCACTATCCAGTGCACCACCGGGCCGGCCCCTTCATCCTGTTTTTAACCATCCCGTTGACTGATCTTGAATGGATGTTGGCTCTGATAACATCACCTGAAGTTTCTTTTTCCACATAGCCCTTGCTGGTTGTTAATCAGTTCATGATGCAGACTTGATACACTTAAGAAGCTCTGATATTCAAAGGCACCGTGTTTTTCTTTTTCCTATCCCTCTTCCTCCTCCTCTTGCTCCATAAGAAACCTTTTGTCATGCATTCCCCCAGCAGTTTGCTTGAATGAGTTGGTTTAATTTGGTTTTCTAAGCGTGCACACCTGCCTTGCATATGTCCTTTTATTCTTCTTCCCATTGACCATAGACCAAGAATTGTTTTTTTTTTTTTCCTTTTTGTCTTTTTTCGTGACCGGCAACGGATCGCAACCCTCGGTGTCATGCCCGCACCTTGCTCAGCCAGTGAGCGGCCGGTCTGTATGTGGGACCCGAGCCCTCGGCGGGAGCGCCGCCGCGCTCCCAAGCGGCGCACTGTAGCAGTGCGCCACCGGGCTGGCCCAAGAATTGTTTTTGTTTTGTTTTGTTTTTGGTAAAATGTGAAATTTTCTTCTTTAGCGAAATAAATGCCTATTTTGAACATTCACCATACAATTTAAACATTTATTCACCTCTTACACTAGTACAACAGTACTGGGGGTTGTTGCAGAAGCAATCTAAAAGCCAGATGAGAGTTTCTAAGTTTGGGAGAAAATTGAAGAGGTGGGCCAGTCTTGTGGGTGATCACTTGTCAGCTGGGGCCTCTGAAAAGCAAGAGGTCACGTCAAAATTCTGGGTCTACCATCCTACCAATACCATCACAGATGGCTTTTCTCCCACAATGGTGATGTTGGAAGTGGTATATTGTAATGGGGGTGGGGAGGAGGTAGCATTGGCCTTGGAGTCAGAAGATGGCTTTGGAGTGTGGACTGTTGTGACCTAGGGCAAGTTGCCTCATAGCTCTGAGTCTTGGTTTCCTTATCTGCACAGCAGGGTGAGTGCTGCCCCTGCATACCTCACAGGGTTGGTGGGGTGGGGGGTAGTCACCATGTTGGTGAGGACAGTGCTTTGCAGATTATAGCATGCATTTTTAAAGGCATGTGTTTCTGCTGTGGAGTATACATAAAGCAAATGTATTTCACAGGGCCTGGTTTTCCAAAGCCTTGCAGTTTCAAATGTTAACATTGCAAAGGACAGGAAATTTTCCCCAGGCTATACTCTCTGCTGTAAGATAAAGAATTGTAACACAGTAAGTTTGCTGGCTCAAAGACAGGGTACTGATTGATATGTAAAGACCCTGGGAAATTGCTGTAAGAAGAGAATGTTTGCTAAGATCAAGCTTTTGTTGGTGGATCAACTTAACTTCTTGCAAATTGCATTATGGAAGGTCACCTTGCTTTTTTTTTTTTTTTTTTTTCTTTTTGTCTTTTTTCGTGACCGGTAGTGGGATCGCAACCCTCAGTGTCGCGCCCGTACCGCGACCAGCAACGGGATCGCAACCCTCGGTGTCACGCCCACACTGTGCTCAACCAGTGAGCGGACCTGTCTCTATATGGACCCTCGGCGGGAGTGCCGCCGCACTCTACCGAGTGCACCACTGGGCCGGCCCAAAATCAGCAAATTTCATACTGATCCTGAGCTATTTTCTAATCCACATTCTGTTAATTGTCTCATAATGCCTTTTACAGCTGTTTCTGCAGGTCCAGGATCCCATCAGTTCAGGAGCACATGCTGCATTTAGAGGTTGTCTGTTCTCCTTTCAGCTGGAACAGCTAGCTAGCTTTTCTTTGTTCATCTTCCTCGCCCATGGCATCTGAAGGATCACAGGCCAGTTATCCTCTCTTGGCTCCATTGTGGTTAGATTCACGTTTTGCATTTTGGGCAGAAATGTATCCTGGGGCTTTTCTGATGAGTGTTTCCTGGCCCCACCTTGCTTGTTTTACCTATGTTCTCTTCCTGTAACTTCCTGGTCTGGAGAATAAATGTGGGAAGAGAACCCCAATTCAGGGTTAATTTCCCAAATGGAAAGAATGCCTCCCTCTTGAGGGTTCCGGGAGATTAACCCCTTTTCAGGGCATCTCACTGCTCAGAAGAGATGGGCTGTGAGTAATCTTTGGCGGCTCTGTCACCCAGGGGAAAAGGGGTGACAAATCCGTGGGAGGCAAAGCAACATTCTGCCTCCTCAGTCAGGAACAAGTTAGGTGATTTCCCTTTTTTTTTTTTTTTTCTTTAAATGAGGGGATTCAAAATGGAACCCAAAAACCTTTGCTTAACTGGCTATGGAGCCTGTTCTAAATGAGACTGTGGCCCTAATTCCTTTTGTTTGTGAAGTAAGGTTATACAGTAAAGGTGCTTTAACACCAAATAATTTTATATTCTCACAATAGGTACTAGCTCCATTTCACAGTTCAGGAAATTGAGGTTCAACTGGGAAGCTGAGTTTATGTATTAGTTCTTGGAACATAGTGTCCTTTGAATACGACAACTTTGTGCCCAACCCTCTTATCCGCGATGCACAAATAACAGGCAACCAACTTTCCTGCAGATATTTGGGAAAGAGGAATTGGAAGGTTTTTTTTGAGAGGCAGGAGATGGGGAAGAAAACTTCTCTGGTGTCACCCAAAGGGTGGGCTTGCATTTGGGACTTCAAGGGAATTGAAATAACCTGACCCAGGCAAGGACTTACCTTTGGCCTCTTCCCACAGGATGTCCTGAAGAAACTTCCCTAGGGCCTGGCTGTGCTGCTGGTACTGAGCCTCCGACAGCTTGATTCCAATGTCAAAGGGGGCGTTGAACTAGGAGGTAGGGCATAGAGGACCCAAGAGGTGTCAGAGTTCACACACCCCACTGCCCCAAACACATGCCACTATCACAAAGTGGACTCTGGACTCTCATGTTCTCTCCTTACAGGGGTAGGGAGGGAGAATGGTGTTTGGGTCCCAGCAGGTAGCAGTGAGTGACGTCTCAACCAGGGCTGACTCTGCCTTCTGGGGCCCATGTCTTACCTTTCCTCTTCCCATTGTTAGGATACTGACCTTGCAGTCTGTCCGTTACCCTAGCCTCAGCCTCTAAGAGGGTTGCTAATAAAGGCTGTGGAGTCACCTCAGACAAGTTTTTTCCTCCCTTGCAATTTGGGAAGACAAAAAATTTTTTTTTGGAAGAAAAAAGGTTGAATTGCTAATGGTAAAATTTCAGGCCCTGGCAGGGAGGTTTTTGGGGGGCAGTGGCTCCACCTGGCATACAGAGCACCAGCCTGGGTGATGGGCTCTACCCCTCACTTTCTTATTCATTTTTCCTCTCCCCTTTCTCCTTTCCCAGGTATTCTTCCTGTCATATATGAGGCTACTTCAAAAGGTTCATGGAGGGGCTGGCTGGTTAGTTCAGTTGGTTAGAGCACAGTGTTATAACATCAAGGTCAAGGGTTTGGACCCCATACCAGCCAGCCACCAAAAAAAATAACTAAAGTTTGTGGAAAGATTCCTATTATCTTTTAATTCTATTTTTCCATACTTTTGAAGTACCCTTGTACACAGCCCTTTCTTTGTTCTGTGGAAATTCAAAAAGAAGCTGACTTTTTCCTAGAAGGATGCTCTGAGCCAATACCTTTCTTCTTTCTGTGCCTCTGTTTCTTCCCTTCTCCAGGGAGAGTGCCCCATCTTTTCCATTTTCCAGACATTCTCTGAGATGATTTATTGGAGCCCAAAGCTTTGGGTAAATGGAAAAAAGCTCTGTTTGCAGCCACATCATAGATTTTTCTCTCCTTGAGAGCAAGACTGTCTTTATCTCTGCTTTGCCACGTAGCTACTTCGGTGCCCAGCCATGTTGGTCTGAATGAGTCAGTGTAGGAATCTTAGTGGAAAGAATCTTAGTGCTGGAAGGGAGCCCTAGGTCATCTGGTCCTTCTGCCTTCTCTACCCCCTAGCAGAAGCCCGGAGAGGATGAATGACTTGCCTGAGGCCACAGAGGGAGTTGGTGGCCGAGGACTAGAAGACTTAAATTTACCCTGCCCGGAAATCACGCCCTTCCCCTGTCAGGCCAGGCTAAGGCCATATCTCCATCTCATCCATGTTGTAGCAGTACCTCCCAGGTAATACAATACCGCTATTCGCATTTATTAAAGTAACAAATAGCTATTTGTTCCCTTTTTACAATTTACTCCCTCCCCTCATCTCCACTGTGAAGGTGGAGTGGGTGGGGAATGACATGATAGGCTTTTAGGGAACTTTGGGCCTTCCATCCCTCCTTCAGTAGAACTTGTTTCCCTACTTCCGCCCCTGTGGTTGATGTAGGTGGTCAGATCACCTGACATGAGCACCGATTTGGGAAACTGCTGGTCTGGTCTGACATCCTGGAACTGTGTGGTAGGGGCAATTGAAAGGTTACATGGTGACTGTTGGGAGATCTTCTTGATGTGACTTGAAAAAGCCCCTTCTCTCTTAGCCTCAGTGGCCCATCTCTTCAGTGGGGGTGGATGCGGGGCTTGGTCTCAAAAGTCTTCCAGCTCTGAAACTTGATTTTGGGAGGAAAACGTTTGAGGGGAGTGGAGGGGCCTGAGACGAGAGAGGTGGAACCCTAGGATGCAAGGGGTTTGGGCAGCCGCATTGCAGGCCTCCTGCCCTGCCCCACCTCTGGCAGCCCCAACACCGGCCAGGCACTTCAGACTTCCCATTCTCATGGAGGCAGTGTGGGCCATTTCTTCCAAGATCAACTTTCACCAGAACTGGAAACCTCCTGTTATCCCAGCCCTGGCTTGAGTCATCAACTACCAAGACCTCTTCCCCTCTGGGCTAACGTATAGTATAATGTAGAGCTCTTGTGGCTGGGGCGACTGCCTGCCCACTGGAGCTGCCTGCCCACTTTTTCACTGAGAAAGTTTTCTGGTTTTAGCTGAAGGGTTTGCAGGCCATTAAAATGGGAATCTAGTGGGTTGGGGGGATAGGGGGGTGTTTCGCACCTAGTGCAAAGGAAGAACACCTCTAGGTTCTGGTGAGGATCAGAGAGGGCAGGGGTTTTGGGAGCTTGGGGTTGGCATTCATCTTTGACTGGAGAAGAGGATGGTGAATAGGTAAAGGGAGGCCAAGGAAGGACGCACTTCAGCTGTTTCTCAGGCAGAAAGAGACCACTCCTAGGGCACTGTGCATTCTCTCTGTTTGCCAGACCAGTGAGGAGGAAGAGAGGGTTTGGGAATTGGCATCAGCCCTGATCTCAAGTCCCATCTGGGGCCTTGGGCAAGTGAGTTCACCTGTCTAAACTTCTGTTCCTCATCTATAAAATAGGGATAATAATAGCAGCCTTACTTACCTCATGGGTTGTTGTAGAGATGAAATGATATGTAATAAGGGAAAAACAGCTTGTAGAGGAAATTAGTATACACAGGCACAGCAGTATAATTATTGCCATTCTTAAGTACTACCCCAGGGGAATCCTGGTTTAGCTGCAAAAAGGTATTGCCACCTAAATGCTTGAAAAAAAAAACAAAAAAACAACCCCCCAAAATACCATTCCCTGAACCACAGCCAACCTTTCAGGAAGGTTACATAGACAACCCTTGTAAAATCCCTTGACTCCCTCCTTTTAATCCTTGAGCTGTCTCTAAACTTTTTCTTTGTCCCACACAATATTTGTCAGAGCAACAATAAGTCTGATCTACCCCTTCCTTGCCTCCAGGTGAGGTTCAGTGAGTGTTGGCTGCAAGAGCCTTGGCTCAGCTGGCTAGGCCTGTGTCTCAAAGCACTCCACCCCTAAGGTCAGGCCTTAGAGGCTCCCGAGTAAAACAAAGTTTTCTGTGGAGAAACATCTTCAGTCTTTGACCAGCTGTTTACATCTGGTGTCTTTATGTCTTTGCAGGGTACTTGCTGGCTCCCTTTGAAATCTGGAGTGTGCTAGCTCCTCCTCCACTGCCTGCAGCTCCTCACATTCCCATTCTGTTGTAGCAAAGTTACTTCCAGACATTTTTCTCTTAGTGGGCAAAGACCTCATAGAGTCCAGTGCAGAGCTCAACCATTTTAGTACAGTTTTAGAATTCTTTTTTTTTTTTTTTTGGCAGATGGACAGTAAGGGGATCCAAACCATTGACCTTGGTGTTACAAGGCCACACTCTAACCAGCTAAGCTAATCAGCCAGCCCTTGTTTTAGAGTTCTTGAGTAGCTTGTAAGTGGATCCCTGTTCATAGCCATCTCTTCCTGCCCTCTCTCTTCCCAACCCCAACGCTTTACTGCCATAAGAGCTTAAAACGGCAGAGGTACTGACCCGAATTTCCAGTTTGTCCTCTGCCCCTTCCACCTGACTTCTGTCTTCTGGATGGAGCCAGCCTTCTAGAGCTCGGGGCTGTAGTTTGGCCGTTGGCTTCTTGGACTCCTTTCTCTGCTGGAAAGGGGAGATGTTCTCTTTAGGACCCTAAGCCCCCATATTCTACCAGAAACAGAGTGAGGTCAGATCAGAGCCTTCCTTTTTGCTCTGGGAGAAGGCTGAAGCCCAGAGAAGTGAGCCACTGCTCCAGGTCACATGGCTGGAACAAGATACCCCAGTCAGTATGTGGGGCCTTGTGGAGAGAAGTCTCACCTGGACTTTCTGGTGTTCAGGGCTCAGGAAGCTGGAGCCTCCCATGGCCAAATCCACCCAGAGCACACTGAGGAGAAGCAGGCTGCAGATGGTCCCTGGGGAGAGCATGGCCTCAGCTGGGTTGGGGACAGATGGGCCTGTGGAAGAGAAAGGGTCTCCACTCAGAGGCCTCATCCCCTTGATGTGCCTCAGAATTCAGGTAGGACCCCAGCAGACAGGGTGAGGAGACTTTATGACCTCGGGTCATGATGCTGAGTAGAGAGCGGCTCCCCTCTCCTCATCTTCCCAAAGCAGGAGAGAATTGAAGGATATGTGTTGTCATTTCCAAGACTGTCACAGGGCAGAATGCTTGGCAGTAGGACTTGATGTCATGGAGGTTGGGCTGACCACCACAATGTCATTTGTCCCAGGCTTCTGCTAAGTTTTTAAATTTGGGATGAAGCTGAACCAGCAAGGTCCCCAGGGGCCATGGGGAGAATGGGGACAGCTCCTAAACCAAGCTTTGTCTCTGAGCAGCCAGACTGACCCAGGTTGTCCGACATCACCTTTGTTTAGATGGACCTGCTGAGGCCCTGAGAAGTTAAATGAATGGCCAGCAGTCACACAGTATGTTAAACCTGTAAACATACACATACAAAGAGTAGAGAGAGTGCCTACCTGGGATTCCTGATGGAGGTGGTGCCCAGTGGCTGTCTGGTCCTTATATAGGAAGCCTGGTGTTTGTTTTAAACCAGCAGCTCCATCTCAGAGGTGGCCTACCATCTGTGAGGCTGATTACATTCCTCGGGAACTAAAAATGATCATGTCCTCTAGGTAGAAATCAACAGTGGAGGTCAAATGCCCTGCAAGATTGCTGGGTTGGCTTGGGGTGGTAGATCTGCCCCAGCTGTCCTTGGAAAACAGTGCAGGGAGGTGCCCCAAGTGGGCATGGTCCTGGCTTAAGTGGGATGGGGGAGAGTGGCTCTGAGGTTGGGGCCTGGCTTTGATGCTGTGTGGCTTTTTCTTACTCCCCCTTCCTCCCTTGGTGAAATGAGGCTATCATTACTGGGAGGTCTCTAAGGCCTCTCCAGTGCTGGCAGTCTTGTTTTCTATGGACCGATGCTGGTCTGGCTTCCACAAACCTCTGGAGACACTGGGAGCCAGGCTCATGTAATCCTCATACCTTCCCAAGTAGGAATGTCCCATTTCACAGATGAGGAAACTGCTGGGAGGTGCGGTTGCACATGCTCCTAACCATCCTCTCCAAGGAGCAAGTGTAGGGACACTTTCCATCAGTGGCTGCACTTTAGTCACTTGGCCTGGTATTTCTTAACATGGCAGCTTGCCTCACCTTCCCCCAGCAGGTTTTGATCCCTAGTTTAATGGACGCTTGTTCTGAGTGGGAAACAGATTGGGCCAGGATGCAGAAGATCTGTGGCCTAGTACAGTTCCTTATTAGTTGATTGGCCAAAGGCAGATCACTAATACTGCTCCTTGCTTCAGGGCCTGCCTCAGAGTCCTTTGAGGATTAAATGAGGTGATGAATATGAAAGTGCTTTAGAACCTGTGAATTATCCTGCAGATGACACCTGCTTTACACCAGGCCCATAAAAAGGACTTGCAGGCAAATGCCAAAGTTATTGCCTCGGGTTTCTATCAGCCCCAGGAATTCCTTACTTTCTGGAGTACTTCATATGATTGGATGCATAGGCAGTGACTCCTAAGGGCCAAATGAGTTGTCTACACAGAAGTCCTAGCAGTTCCGAGGAGGAATTCACTTTAGGCTGGGTCTTGGGACTGGGATGTTAGGAGAGGCTCCGTGAAAGAGGTATGTGGTGGAATTGAAGGGAGAGCATCGAAGCACACAGAGTGGTGTGAGCGAAGGTGAAATGAAGGTGTGGGTATATATGTTTGGGGCAGTAAGGAGAAGGCTGGGTGGCAACTGGGGCGAGTCATAATGAAAGGAATAGAAGGCCGTTTGGGGTCAAGTTATGGATGGCCTTGAAAGCTACTAGCCCAAGAAATCTGGCTTTCCTTTGTAGGAGGGAGGCCACTGAAGATTCTTGAACAGAGGAGAGAAAGAACCAGAGAATTAAAGAGTCGAAAAGACTTTAAAACCATGGGAGTCTGAACCTTTTATTTCACTGGAAGAAAAACGATGCCAAGACGAGCATACTTTCCCCAAAGCCATACAGCCATCAGGGGCAATGCTGGGACTCCCACCCGGGTCTTCTGACTCCTAGTACAGTGCTCTTTCTGATATACCACCTCCTTACATAATGAGCATTGTGTTCCAGGAAAATCAGTCTGCTCTGAGCAGGATAGAATTGGGGCAGGATATCCAGTCAGTAGGATATCGAAGCAGCAGAAAAGTTGATCACCAAATGACCATCTGACTTAAAAGATCAACTTCAGGGTGAATTGGACCCTTGTAGAAACTCTAGGGATAGTGGAGGTATGGGCTGGGCTGGACTGAATCCTTAGGTAGAACATGGGAGACTAAGTACCTCCTGTTGAAATTGGAACAAACTTTTTTTTGGCAGCTGGCTGGTACACAGATTGAACCCTGGACCTTGGTGTGCTCAGCACCATGCTCTAGCCAACTGAAGTAACGAGCTAGCCCTCTCCTGCTGAAAAACATCTCATCCACAGCTCACTGTGGTAGCTTAGATCCCACCTTTAGTTCCAGCAGAATGTGAGCACGTCACCAGCAGACTTTCATAGCCCTGTCAACCACTTGAGAGATTAGACCTCTTTTGGCCCCAGGGCCCAGAGGGGCTGAAGGTAGAGAAAGGAGAAATCTGGAGCCCTCAGAGAAGAAGTGCAGCTTTTTCAGAGCTGCCACCCCCACAAAAAAACACACCCCAAACAAAAACCCCAACTATGGTGACCAGGCACCTACTGAGACATGAACACTCTGCTTAATGCTGACCTGGAGGCCTCTGGAGGTAGGAGCTCCCACTGTTGATCTTAGATAACAGCAAGTAAACACCCACTGCTGGCTGAGTGATCTCTGGGGAACAGAAATATCATCTGGGAGTTGGTAAACCCCTAACCACATACCACAGAATCAAGGCTTAAGGCTTGCTGGGGAGGAAAGAAGATCTGATGGATGTGAGAACCACGGAGGGAGGAGGAAGGAGGCGCCCAGAAAGTACCTCGGTGTCCACTCATGGTTTTGGAAGGGAGATGGATGAGGCTTGGAATTGCATGCAAATCTGAACCAAGAGGAGTTGGGAGGAAGATTGTGTGACTCAAGGAAAGGACTGACATGGTTTATTCTCCTTATTCCTTTCAAGCTGGATAATAACCAAGACCAGTTTGGAAAATTCCTGAGAGGGGGAACACAACCCTTCTCCTTCTTGGAACTCCGTAAGGGTTCAGGAAGTGTGTTTCTTCTGATGGCTTGTTGCTTGGCTGATCTCCTTCCCACTGCTGGTCCCTTGAGGGTCTGCCTTAATGGATGGATGAGTGACTTCTTATTAGTGAATTAATTGCTATTTGCAAGTGGTGTCTGAGAATAAAGTATCTAAATACACTTTTCACTATAATTTCATTTGTACTGATAATTAGTTGGTTTAGCAAGCACTTTTTTCATCAAGTTCACTAAACTTCATTCTGAATGAGGCAGATTCTGGGGCTGTTGGAAGAGGTTTCATTATTTGAGTTAGGGCTTTTTGGTGGGGTTTCTTTTTTCTCCTAGTTCTGGCTTCCATAGCTTCTAGATCTGCATTTTTCAATAGAAATAGAATGCTAGCCTCAAATAAGAGCCTCATGTGATTTTAAATTTTCTAAGAGTCACATTGAAGGACATTTTTTCTATTTTTATTTTTTTTGCTGGCTGGTACAGGAATTGAACACCAGACCATGGTGTTATCAGCACCATGCTCTAACCAACTGAGCTAACTAGCCAGCTCTGAGTCACATTTGAAAAAACAAACAAAAAAAAAAACAGGTGAAACCAATTGTAATACTGTGTTTAACCCAGTATATCCAAAATATTATCAGTTCAACTTGTCATCAATATAAAAAATTATTAATGAGGTATGAGTATTTGACTTGTTTTGTTTTGTTTTATACTAAGTCTTTGAAATCCAGCACATTTCAATTTGGACTAGCCACATTTCACATGTGCCTCATGGCTACTGTATTAGATAATCATAAATGTCAGTCTTAAATTTTCCTAACCTTAGCTGTGTTCTCTCTCATCCCTTCTCCTGCCCAAGCTAAGCCTCTCCCAGTAGGGCTTCTGTGGTTTCCTGCCATCTTGGTTCTGTAGCCACAACAATTTGCCTCTTTCCTATCTTCAATCATTTCTCTCCAACAACTTCTGCCCTCAGCCTTAAAATATGCCCAGGTTTCTAATCCTGGAAGTTTATTTTATGCCGATCCCACCTTCCCCTCATGTTACCATCTCCAAGCTTAGTTTCCTTTTCCTTTTCCTGTATCCTCCTCTTTACTGTGTACTGGCTCCTCAAAACTCTAACTTGACTCCCATTCTCACCTCTGTACTGAAACTTCTCAGAGAGTTGCTGATAATCCAGTCTTTTAGTCTAGGGACCACTAAGAGCCGTAGTATCTCACGGTTGGGTGAGGCTTTTAGGGTCATCTAATCTCAATTGCTGGGTACAGATCTGTGTTGGGTTGCACTGGATTCACAGGGAAAGCTTACGAAAATGCAGATTTTTCTGATCCAGGAGGTCTGGAGTGGGGCCCCAGAATCTGTATTTTAACAAGTATCCCAGGTAGTTCTTTTCTGATTATAAAATAATGCTTACTTCCTGCAGAAAATTTGAATATATGGAAGATAAACACACACACACTCACACCTCTCACTCAGTTTACACTAATATTAATATTTTATATAACCACAGTACATTTATCAAAATGAAAAAACAAACATTGCTATATTACTGTTAAATAAACTCCACACTTTTATTTGTACATTACCAGTTTTTCCATTGTCCTATATTTTCTTTGTTCCTTTTCTCTTTTTATGCTCACTTTTGGATTGAGTGTTTTTTATGATAGCATTTTATCTTCACTATTGGTTTATTAGCAACACTGTTTTATTCTTTTAGTGATTGCTTTACATATATGATGCCTCTTCATCTATAGTGTAAGAACCTTACAACAGAATACTTTCACTTCCCCACGCCCATTCTTTGTGATATCGTTGTTACACATTTTATATCTACATGTTATAAGCCTGACAGTGCACTTTATTTTTTGGCCACTGGCCAGTATGGGGATCTGAACCCAGTGCACTTTAGTCAATATAGAGAATGACTAGAGAGATTAAAGAAATGGGAAAAAGGTCCTGTATTTACTCAGATATTTACTATTTCTGGTGCTCCTTATTACATGGTGTAGATCCAAATTTCCATCTGGTATTATTTTCCTTCTGCCTGAAGGAAACCTCCATTGGTATTTCTTATAATACAGCTGTGCTGCTTAATTCTTTCAGCTTTTATTTGAAAAAGTCTTTATTTCACTTTTTATTTATTTATTTATTTAAAAGATGACCAGTAAGGGGATCTTAACCCCTGACCTGGTGTTGTCAGCACCACGCTCAGCCAGTGAGCTAACCAGCCATCCCCATATAGGGATCCAAACCTGTGGCCTTGGTGTTATCAGCACCGCACTCTCCCAAGTGAGCCATGGGCCGGTCCTTCACCTTTATTTTTAAAAGATATTTTCACTAGGTATGGAATTCTAAGCCAATAGTTTTTTCTCTGAGTACTTTAAAGATGTTAATTTTCTTATGTTTTGCATAATTTCTGATGAGATGTTGGATGCCATTCTTATATTTGGTCCTCTGTATGAAAAATGTCTTTTTCTCTGGTTGCTTTTATAATTGTTTTTTATTCCTGCATTTTTATTATGGTTGGGGTATGTGTGTGCATGTGTTATTGTTTCTTCTGCTTGGGGCTGATTATCTTGGATCCATAGGGTTACAGTTTTAATCCAACCTGAAAATTTTTGACTGCTGTTTTTTCAAATATTTTTTCTGTCCCCTCCTTTCTTTCCCCCATCCTGGGACTCCAGTTACACATGTTTTAGACTACTTGATATTGTCCTACAGGTCACAGTTGCTTGGTTCATTTTTTTTAGTCCCCTTTTCTCTCTGTGCTTCAGTTTGTATAGTTTCTATGTCTTCAAATTCAATGATCTTTTCTACTGCAGTGTCTAATCTCTTACTCCCAGTATTTTTCATTTCAGATATTGAAATTTTTGTTTCTACTTGCAGCTCTTTTGTATCTCCTATTTCTCCCATTATGTTCATTTTCCTTTGCATTCCTGAATATATTTATAATAGCTGTTTTTTAAGGTCCTTATCTGCTCATCCAAAGCTATTATTTCTGGGTCTGTTTCTATTATTTTTCTCTCCTGGTTACGAGTCTGCTGTAGATTGGATGCCCGGCTCCCCTGCCGACCTCACTGAGCTTTAATCCCCACTGCAACTGTGGAGGGTGGGAAATCCTATTATGGCAAGTGAAAGGTGAGGGCTTGAAGAGGTGATTAAATTCTGAGGACCATGTCTAGTGAATGGATTAAAAATGGTGGCCATGGGTGTGGTTTTGAGGGCTTAAAAAGGAGAGTGCACGAGGAGCTATCTTTTTCTCTCTCTGCTCCACCATTTTCTGCTATGCGAGACCCCCTGGGTCACTGTCGCCACCACCAAGGCCTTCACCAGCTGTGTGTTCCCTGGATTTTGGACATCCCAGCCCCTGAAACTGTAAGCAGTAACTTTCATTTCCCTATAAATTACCCAGTTCCAGGTATTTAGTTATAAGCAACAAAAATGGACTAATACAAGTTATATTTTCCTGCTTTTTGCATGCCTGGTAGTTTTGGATTGCATGCTGGACATAGAGAATTTTATGTTGTCAAGTGCTGGATTCTTATTCCTTTAAAGTATGTTTGACTTTGATCTAGTAAAAAGTGAAATTATTTGTAGATCAGTTTGATCCTTTTTTTTTTTTTTTCCTTTTTGTCTTTTTTTCGTGATCGGTAACAGGATCGCAACCCTCAGTGTCGCGCCCGTACCGCGACCGGCAACGGGATCGCAACCCTCGGTGTCGCGCCTGCACCGCGCTCAACCAGTGAGCGGACCGGTCTCTATATGGGATCCGAACCCTCGGCGGGAGTGCCGCTGCTCCCCCAAGCGCCGCACTCTACCGAGTGTGCCACTGGGCCGGCCCAGTTTGATCCTCTTGAGGCTTGCTTTTAATGTCCAGAGCAGCCTTTACTCTAGAGCTAATTTAAGATGTACTATTAGGGTATAATCTTTCTTAGGACTCTACCCAGTGCCCTTTGCTAATGAAGTTGTTTCGTTCTGGTTGTTGGGAACATGAACTATTCCCACACCTGTGTGAGCTCCAGGGGCTTGATCTATTTCTTTCTAGCCTTTCTTATCTGAACAATGAAAGGAAGGCAGCAGCCATTTTCACACTGTTCTCTGAAGGCCTGGGCCATGGCCTCTCTTTCCTTACTTCAACCAAAGCAGTTCCACTTTTTTTCCATTTTATGTATTATAATCAAATACTTACTTTGAAAAGATGAGTTTTGCTGCTGAAAAAGGAGGGTAAAAGAGTAGATATAAGAATAGGGGTCCATATCTACCTGTGCACCATTTACTGAGGCAAGTGACCTGCCTTCTTATCTAAGTACCTTCATATAAAGGTTTGGTGCAAGCACCACCCTTAGATATAGTTGAGGAGCTCCAATACCTGGTCCCTGATTCTTCAGTGGAGAGGACAAACTTTGGAAATGGATCAGGACTCAAACACTGGCTTTGCCACGTGGCTGTGGACAATCCTGTGCAGGGCTTCTACCTTCCATGCCAGTTTCCTCATCAGTGAATTAGTGATCTATACCTATACAGGTTTGCTGTGTTGCTTGAATGAATCAATGTGTGAACGTCCCAAGTGTAGTGCCTGGCTTACAGCAGGTCTCAGTGAGTGCTAGTTAGTGACTGTTGTGACTTGAGGAAGGGTCCCAGAGCCTCTGCTGAGAGGTAATACCTGGCTCAGGGTCAATTAGGACAAGAACTTATCTCCCATCACAGGCCCCTCCTTTCTCTGACAGGTCAATAAACTGAATGAATTGTGCCCACTTTCCTGGCCAGCCACTTGCCTATCAGCATTCAGTTAATTTACTACCTTGCATTGGCATGGCATTTTGTGCCATGCATTAATTAGCTCATTTGAGTCTTGTAGCCATCCTGGAGGGCGGACTGTATTAGTCCTAGTCTACAGAGGAGGATGTGTACCCAGAGAAGATAAGTGGTAGGGCCAGAGCTACAGGTCTTGTCACTGAAGCACTCCTTTTATAGTGCTCTGTATGATGCCTTCAGTATCAACTGAATCTCAATGATTCTTACACAGCAACAGACCAGCTTTCTAGGTGGAGTGTAGTTACAATAATACAGCAAGAATTATAAGCAATGTGATTTTATTTACTTTGGACCCCCCCCCCCACAATAATGCCTGAACCCAAAGGTACATAAAAATGGCCCCAAATATTCGAAAATAATAGATTTGAAGATCATTTGTAGTTTCTTCCTCATGAGTGTCCTCAGCTGGACAGTAAATTACAAACCATATCAAATCATGTTAAGGCAGATGATCAATCTGTGGTTGCATTTGTAACTACTTGTTGGAGTTGAGAGCTCTTCTTCCCAGGTGTTTGGTCAGCTGGCCCAGAAAGGGGCAGTCCTGGAGTAGGCAGGTGGGGGGGGTGTCAGACCCTGCTTGTCTGGTCACTGCTCGTTCTGCTGGCTCTCTGTGACTGCAGCTGACACAGAGCCCTGGCCCTTGTTGACATCACTGATGCACACCCACTGCCCATCAACCGACTCCTTCCACAGGGTGACCTGTAAGGCAGTGCACACACCAAATGTCACAGGTCTGTGTTCCCTCCCTCCACTGTCCTCTCACTGGGTCCTCTAAATGAGACCCACTTCCCCATCAAGAACCACTGCTCAGAGGCTTGTGGGTAAACAGACCACTTACCTTGGTTCTCCCTCTGGAATCCCATTAAAATGAAAGTAAAGGAACAAAAACTCCCACAGATAAAGAAAAAAGGAGTAGAAATAACAGCAGTTGTGAATGATGATGATGTAAATACAGATGCCAGCAGATACAGCTACAGTAAGTGGACAAGGTGTAGCAGAGAGCAGAAGTTCTCAGAGTGTGGTCCCCAGACCAGAGCGTCCACATCACCTGGGAGCTTGTTACAACTGCAAATTCTTGGGTTCTGGGCCAAGTGATTCAGAAGCTCTGTGGGTGGGATTGGTGATCTGTGTTTTAACAAGTTTAATAATGCTAAAAAAATTTGAGAATCACTGTGGTAGAGGAAGATGACAGATCAATAAGCACCTTATTTTTACACTGAAGTAAACTAAAGAAGAAATAGTGAAGAGCTAAAAAGGTTTGCCCCCAAAGAGTGAAATTAGGAGACTGCATTTTAAAAATATCATCTAAAAACTATGTACAAGTATTAATTTGATAAAATAAAAATGATTTTAAGAACTTCTCTTTTAGGGACAAACTTTATTCACTAAACAAGCACTGTGCAGGATGCTCTGGGACTGAAAACATACTAAATCCTTTAGCAGAGGGGTGCTATGGAGATAGTAGAGTTGAGCCCTTTGTAGGAAACAGGCTTATAAAGAAGGAAAGAGTAAGAAGCCTAAAGGCATTAGTGTCAGCAGACCCCCAAACACAGAATATTCAACCAGGCATTTGCTTACTGCCTTGTAAAATCACTGCAGGTCTGCTTGAGGCAAGTCTGGGTCCCTTGGCCTGTCCTGGGTGTCATCAAATGTGGGTTTAGTCCTGACTCTGATATTCACCAGAAATAAAGGAGGTTGGATTAGCTGTCGTTTGAGGGCCATTCCAGCTCCAAAATTCTATGGCTTTGAGATGGGGCCTGCTAGATCTTTCTGGGACCACTGTAGATGAAACGGACCCTAGGCCAGAAAAAAAGCTGCTTAGAGAGAGTCTCAAAGAGATATCTGTACACCTATGTTCAAAGCAGCAGCATTCACAATAGGCTAAGTGAAATAAGCCAGTCACAGAAGGACAAATAATATATAATTTCACTTATACGAGGTACCTAGAATAGTCAGATTGATAGAGACAGACAGTAGAAAAGTGGTTGCTAGGGAAAGGGGAATTATAATTTATTGGGTATAGAGTTTCAGTTTTCCATGCTGAAAGGAGTTCTGGAAATCAGTTGTACAACAGTGTGAATGTAGTTAATAATACTGAACTGTACACTTAAAAATTAAGATAAAATTTTGTTATTCTACCACAATTTAAAAAACTACCTGCAGAAAGGAAGAAGTAACAAGCAACTGCCATCAACTCTCCTGTAAGGCAGAGGATCCCTAACTTTATCAGGTAGGTTGCAAATGGAGTGGCTATGATGCCTTTTCTTTGGTGTTACAACATCATGCTCTAACCAACTCAGCTAACTGGCCAGCCCATGATGCTTTATCCAGCACATTTACTCTGCCTCTGAATTGTGACTTGGTTAGGGATCCTTCCAGTCCTCATGGCTCTCTATTCTGCCCTGTGCTGGTCTTTGTTTTATGAAGTTTTCCAGTGGCCACTTTGGCTCCATGTCTTACCCTTCCTTTGCACAGCCGCATAAGGTAAACAGTGGGTGCACAATAAGTATTCAAAATGTACTGATTTTTAAAAAATATGCTTAAGTGTTTTAGAAAAAAACCAATCTTTTTGCTTTGTTTATGGATTCTTTTTCTTATATACTTACTTTTTTGACAGAGTGTACTGAATATTACCATGAAGGTGAGGTGACCAAATGGTTGAGGTGGTGGTCTGGGCCTGACTGGCTCTGTCACCCACCAGCTTTGTGATCCCTATGCCCCAAGGCAAGTTGCCTCTGTGTTGGCTGCTTTCCTCACTGTGAACAGGGTACATACTACTTCAGGGGGAGATTTAATGATGTAACTGAGAGACCTGCTCAAAATGCAGTTCTCATAAAGGTTCCTTCCAAGCCCGTGGTTAAATGGAATGTCTAGTGGGCGAGGTGAAGACCAACAGGGCCCTGTCTACCATGCCACTGGGAATGGGGTGTACCTTATTGTCTCCACCTGAGACGGCCAAGATATTGGCTGTGATGGACCAGCTCACGTGCCACACAACATCATTAAACTTGTGCAGCAACTTGGGAGACCACATATTGCCTGAGGCATCATCACAGGTCCAAATGAACACACGACCATCCTAGGAAAAGACAGATTAGAGTCAGGAAATGGAGGGCAAGGATCCTGCATATGCAACGTCCTCCCAATCTGGAGCCCTATTGGACCTTTCTGCAGGAATAGGGTGGGTAATTCAGAGCAAAGGATACCTAAGGACCTCTTGAGAATACCTAAGGATAGCTCTGACGACCAGTTTCTAGCCCAGCACCCTTGCTTTTGTCCCTCGACCCCCAGGAATACACTTCAAACTGGTCAAGAGTCTTCCAGTTTCCTTTTCTCATCTTGGTTTCCAATAAGAACTTTGTCTGCATTGTCTACTTGAATTTTCTCTGGGGTTTTCCTCATGTCTGCTGAATCACTTCCCTCTGGCTCTCTATATTTTCTAACTGAATGGGTATAGCTGCCTAAAAACCAATCTCAGAGAATGAGAAGGGAAAAGTTAAACTCAAAAATCCCTCTTAAATTTAGAACCAAACAACAGGCTCAGCCTATGTAAAAGGCCTACCTTAACTCTTGGCTAGGGTGGTGGTAGTACACCATTAAAGGCATGTCCTTGCTCTTACTTTTATGTTCTGACTGGGGAGGGTAGCTAGGTAGATAAGTCTGGGGTTTTAAGAGTTTCCCATCCCACCTGATCGTTGCTTGGGAACATGCTCAGAATTGCACATGGACACCTCAATTCCCTGCCCACACAAGGGACAGGAGGGGAAACTGGTCCTGAATTTGGCCCTATTCTTGGTGCTGGTTCTGTTGGAATCATTTCAGCTCAGTGGAGGCAAGCCACTTGTGGCTTTTGATGAAGACTTCACCACACAGTGACCTGACTGCACATGCTCCTTCCTACCTCTGCACTGGTCCAAAGGTGCCCACCTTCCAAGAGGACTTTTCCACTAGGGAGACTGTCAGCGCTGATGGGACTCAAGATTAAATAACATGGGTGCTTTCACAGATCTGAGCTGACCTGGGAGCAGCTGGCGATGGTGCTGGTGGGCAGGCCAATGGAGGGAGCCCAGGCCACGTCTCGAACCCAGTCACTGTGTGCTTCCAGCTTCTGCTCCTCCTTCCACTGGCCGTCCTCCTCCTCCCTAATAGGAGAGACCAGGGGGAGAATCCAGCAGGGAGCAGCCCAGGTGCCTTTCCCACACCTCCATTCCTCCCTGACCTCATGGGCTCAGCCAGGGGCCAAGGAGCAAATCCACCTTTCTTATTTCATTCATTGAGGCTACAAAATTTTATTCAGTTCACCCCACCTGTAAGGAAATCCTCTAGGAAATGCTCTTTTTCTCCATAGCTAAAAAGTTAGCTCCAACAGTTAGGTATTAGGTGAACAATAAACATGCTTGAAAAAAAGGGCAAGAGTTTTTTTGTTTTTGTTTTTCAAAAGTATGTCCTCTAATAGACTGAAACAATATTTTACTGGTAGGGAAAAAGAAAGGTGACCTTGTTTCCTGTGAACTGTGGCTGAGTCATGATGGGTAGGGTAGAGGGTAGAAATGTCCCCTCATAGAGAAGTCCTTGCAACTCCACTTACTTCCACAGCTTAATGAGGTTGTCACAGCCACCTGACGCAAACTTCTTGATGTAATTGGGCTTTTGCCCAGATGGCTGATCTATGAGGCTTCCAGGTACAACAGCAGGGGCCCAGCTGACAGCATTGCAGCCAATCTGTAAAAAGGAGAACATGTGGTAACTCTACCCTTTTGCCCCACAATAAAACACTGGTTCTACAGACCCAAGGCTGCTGTCATTTCCTTTCCATTGCTCAGGACTGGGTTATATAAGACAGCTGATGTGATGAACAAGAATTAGCCACTCACAATTCTCCCTCAAGGATTCCTAAGTGTGTACATTTTTTCTGCAGTATGCATTTAAAGTAGGAATTAGGAATGCTCAGGAATTTAAGAAACAACATTTTCCAAACACATGAAAGGAGGGCACATTGGGACCTATTTAAGAAAAAAATTTTTTTTATTCTAAAGTAACAGATTCAGAAAACCACAAAAAATAAATATGTGGCTTAAGTTACTCTGAAGCATTCTTGTAACCAATACCAAATCAAGAAACAAAACTCTGTCACCAACCTCAGAGGTCCTGTCATTATGTCCCATCCTAACCCTGACTTCTAATGTCTTTTTCCCATTTTGTCACCCAAATGTGCATCCTTTGACACTATCGTTTTGTCTTGCCCATTACAATTTTTAAAATGTTTTTATTATATCTCCTGATTTGTAGAGTTGTCTGATTTTTCCCTTATAATTTTTCTGTTGAAGAACCAGAGTCATCTGACCTCTAGTCTCTTGGTTTGGATTTTGTTGTTATGTACTCAGTTCATTATATTCCCCTGAATTCCGGAAAAAACTCAGCTGGAGCCAAGACTATCAGATTCAGGAGGGAGCTCTCTGGCAAGACTGCAGGTGGTAGTGTGTTCTTTCATCAGGAGGCACATGTCAGGTTGTCTTTTACATTAGCAGCTGTCAATAATTTTTACCTCAATAAAAAAGGAAAAAATAATTTATGCCTCTCTTAATTCACTGGGGGTTGCAAAATGATTACACCCTAATTCTATCATTTCTTTGTCATTTATTACATGGAATAGTCCAGGTAGGAGCAACTCCCCTCATTAACTACAGTTATGGACCACTCATACACAACAGTGGTCACAAAGATTATAATGGAACTGAAAAATTCCTATTGCCTAGTGATGTCCTAGGATCATAAAGTCACAGCACAATGCATTACTCATGTGATGGTGTAAACAAACCTACTGTAAAATATGTTGAGGAGTGCCCAGTTTACCCATGGTGTGACCCTCCCAAGGGTAGCTCAGCCCTTTAAGATAGAAAGCTAAGATTTTACACAGTAGGTCTGACCCCAAGTGAAAGGATTATTGTCTACCTTAGAATTCTTGCATTTTTAAATGATTCCCACCCATGCTCATAGCAAAATAATAGTTAGCAGTTAGCTAGCATTCACTGAGTGCCAGGCACAATTCCTACCTGTAATTTAATTTTCATAACTTTGTGGGAGTGGTATAATTCTTTTTTTTTTTTTTTTTTAAAAGATGACCGGTAAGGGGATCTTAACCCTTGACTTGGTGTTGTGAGCACCACGCTCAGCCAGCGAGCAAACCGGCCATCCCTATATAGGATCCGAACCCGTGGCCTTGGTGTTATCAGCACCGCACTCTACCAAGTGAGCCACGGGCCGGCCGAGAGTCGTATAATTCTAATCCACATTTAACAGATGAGGAAGGTGAGGCAGAGGGACTTAGTAACATAATTAGAGGGCCTACATTCATGCAACTAGTGGCCAGTGTAGATAACAGGAAAATTCATCGCCATTCCCTTTCATAACACACGTTTGTACAATGATGAAATTGTCTAATGGTACACTTCTCAGAATGTACCCCAGTCTTTAAGCAATGCATGGCTGTATTTCATTACCCAGGGGTATGGATCAGAGAGGAAAGGCTGGATAAATGCTTGATTCTTTCTGTACCAGTTCTGTCATTCTCCAAAGATGACCCATTCTCCTTTTAAATGTCATTATGAACCCATGGATTTAAGCATATTTGATGGGTTTCAGTTCATGACAAATATTCTCATTTCTGACACTCAAACTACCCTTCTTGGCAGTGTGAGCCTGTTCAAGTTGGCTCTTTTGACATACCCTAGTATGTCAAAGTATAGCTTTGATCATTTCTTTCCTCTCTGGTGTGACAAAATGTTCCAGGCTCATCTTGTACATTTCCTTCCTCAGACCTAGGATCAGCCATTTCTCTGGTTTCTTTTAGTGAGAAACTATTTCAAGACTGTAATCTGGGTGATAGGGATGCTCACTGCTGTATGTATATTCCTTATTTTATCTCATTTCACATACAACAGTCTCAGAATATTAATGCCAGTATGAGTGCTAAAAACATTTTAAAAAGATTTTGCAAATGCTCTCTCCATTCTCTCCCACGCAGTTTTTAATAGTGGTGCTATATCCACCTTAGCAGAGCATACAGCCATTACATATACTCTGCCTTCTGACCCTCATTTAGTCTTACTTCTCTACAAGTAACTGTATATTTATGTTGATGTGTTTCTAGTCATTTTTGTTGTCTGCAGCTTATTTTCTGGTAGAAAACCTCAGGAAGGGCTCATGGAAACAAGAGTTCCTAGGTTCTTGTATACTGATAAGTTTGTATTCTTTATATGCCAAAGTTAATTTTAAACAACATCTTTGATATGGTATGATTGACACTAACTGCACATAAAATGCATGATTTGATGAATTCTGACATAGGTATATCCTGTAAAACCATCACCACCATCAAGATAATGAACATATCCATCACTCCCAAAAGTTTCCTTGGGTCCTTTTGTAATGTAATCCATCTCTCCACCCTGCAGCCCCCAAACTTGGCAACCATGGATCTGCTCACTACAGATTAGTTTGCATTTTCTAGAATTTTAGATCAATGGAATCACCATATGTACTTTTTTTGTCTTTTTTACTCAGCATAATTATTATTATTATTTTTTTTTTCCTTTTTGTCTTTTTTTACTGACCGGTAATGGGACTGCAACCCTCGGTGTCGCGCCCGCACCGGGGACCGGCAACGGGATCGCAACCCTCGGTGTTGCGCCCGCACCGCGCTCACGGGAACCGGTCTCCACATGGGATCCGAACCCTCGGCGGGAGCGCCACCGCGCTCCCAAGCGAGCCCCCAAACTTGGCAACCATGGATCTGCTCACTACAGATTAGTTTGCATTTTCTAGAATTTTAGATCAATGGAATCACCATATGTACTTTTTTTGTCTTTTTTACTCAGCATAATTATTATTATTATTTTTTTTTTCCTTTTTGTCTTTTTTTACTGACCGGTAATGGGACTGCAACCCTCGGTGTCGCGCCCGCACCGGGGACCGGCAACGGGATCGCAACCCTCGGTGTTGCGCCCGCACCGCGCTCACGGGAACCGGTCTCCACATGGGATCCGAACCCTCGGCGGGAGCGCCACCGCACTCCCAAGCGGCGCACTCTCCAGTGCGCCACCGGGCTGGCCCCGGTCAGCATAATTATTTTAAAATTTATCCACCCTGTGGGTATCAATAGTCGTTTTCTTTACTGTTTAGTATTTCTGAAGTATGGATATACCACAATTTGTTTATCCATTTATGTGTTGATGGACAAATGGATTATTTTGTTTTGGCTATTAAAGCTGCTATGAAATTCTGTGTATAAGTCTTTGTGTGAACTTGAAAGTCAATTTTCCTGGTGATAAATCCTTGGCTCACACTTTCTTTCCTTGAGTATTTTAAATGTGTTACTCCTTTTTCTTCTGTATGAATCACTACTGTTGAAAAGTCTGATGATAATCTAATTTTCTTTCCCTTATAAGGTACACAGCTCTTTTTTCCTAGATGTCCAAAGGATTTTTTTCTTTTTCTCTAAAGACCAGTTTCTTACTGTCTTTCTATTAGTAATTCTTGGTCGATAGTCTTAAATACAGGGTATGATTTCTCAATTTCAAGTTCCGAATCTTTTCATTTTTTAATTTGAAGAGTTTTCTTGAACTGCTTTTTAGTATTCTGTTTTTTCATCAGGGACTCCTGTTATTCACATTTCATGATTATCTTTGCCTGTCTTCACTTTTTCTCAAAACGTCTTTATCTCATATTTTGCTTTTGAAAATTTTCCTCTTTTTACATTCTGTTTCTATTTACTCATTATCTGTTGCATTTATTTGCGCTTATATTTCTTATAATTTAGTCTTTAATTCTGAAATTTTTAATATTTTTTTTTTTGGGGGGTGGGCCTGTACAGGGATCAAATCCTGGATCTTGGTGTATTTCTAATGCTTTCCTGAGTTCTGTCACCTTATTTCTGAGTTTTTCTAATTTTGACTTATGTTATTCTCTCATGGTTTATATTTTTTAAAATGACTCAGCTTGATTTGAAATATGAGAAAGTTTAGTATCCATTATCTGAAATGCTGGGGACCAAAAGTGTTTTGGATTTTGACTTTTCTGGATTTTAGAATATTTGCATTATACTTACCAGTTCAGTATTCTTAATCTGAAAACCCGAAACCCAAAATGCTCCAACGAGCACTTCCTTTGAGTGTCACGTCAGTGTTCAAAAAGTTTCAGATTTTGAAGCCTTTTGGATTTTTGGATTAGGGATATGCAACCTCTAGTGGGTTACAGTTTAGTTCTGTTATGTAGGCATGTCCTCCTAGTGTGCTCTCATTGTCTGTAGGGATGCTTTCTGTGTATTCTCTTTTCTTTTTTTTTTTTTTGTCTTTTTTTTCCGTGTCCGGCAACGGATTGCAACCCTCAGTGTCGCCCCCGTACCGGACCGGGACCGGCAACGGGATCGCAACCCTCGGTGTTGCCCCCGCGCCTCGCTCAGCCAGTGAGCGGGAACCGGTCTGTATGTGGGATCCGAACCCTCGGTGGGAGCGCCTCCGCGCTTCCCAAGCAGCGCACTAGCGCAGTGCGCCACCGGGCCGGCCCTGTGCATTCTCTTTTCCTTTTCTTTTCTTTTCTTTTGGTGGCTGGCCAGTACAGGGATTGATCCATGGACCTTGGTGTTATGAGCACCATGCTCTAACCAACTGAGCTAACTGGCCAGCCCCTTTTTTTCTTATAGTAATAACTTTGTACATGATTTCACCTCAGATTTTTTTGTTATTTTTATGTGAGATCAGTTTTCCTGATAAAATAAGGTTCAGGAAAGCCTTTCTAAGTTCAGAACCCTCTCTTTTGTTTTTGTATAGTGTTAAAAAATGTGATAGCTTGCTTTCAGGTGTTCCTAGCTCTGTTCCCCTTCCCTGTGTTGGTCTATATCTTCTCTTTCTGTTCCCGTGTCCCTATCCAGCTTAATTTTGATTGCACTCCCAGCAGTTTCTCCTCATGAGGGGCCCCATCCTAGAAGCAAGCCCTGGAGGATCACAGGGGTCAGATTTCTCCCAGCCTCTTTAGTTTTTCTTTCTGTGGGCCCTGGTAGATTTCAGAAGTGTTTGGGCCTTCGAAAACAGAACTGCTACATAGAGAGAAGGCACACAGATTCCAGGGTTCTAATCCTGGCATGGTGCCTTCTCTAAGTCACATCCTTTTTTCAAAGCCTTGCTTGCCTCATCATAAAATGGGACCAGGACTGCTTACCTTGAAAATCTGTACTTTTGTTAGTTCCTTCTTTCGTTTGCAAATGTTTGTGAGAATTATATGACACACAGTAGAGGCTCAAGAAATGTGAGCTTTCCCCCACTGTCCACACTGCTTTCTTGACTGTTTCAATCTTAAGGTCCAATGACCAGGAGCACAGAGAACTAAACCCCAATGAAGCTTTATTATAATGCCCCTTGGTTCTCGGGGAGTCCCAATGACTACGGCAGGTTGTAGTAGTCACCCCAAGGTATCTGTAGCTAAGGTGGTAGGTGCGCAGGCTGCTGCTGCATCTTCCCAGTGCCCCAGCTCTCCCCGCCTTGGGAACTTATAAGGAGGAGCCAGTGGCTGAATGAGGCTGGTGCAGCCTGGTCTGGTGTCAGACCAGAGAGCAGAGAGGCTCAAAGATGCTCTATACCAAGCACGTCTGATCAGCAGCCCCCTCCCTGGCCCAGTGCACAGCAGGGACACTACCCCGGCCACTCTCTTGGGAGTCTGTAACAGAAACATGGCAAGGCAACAGAGCTACCCTCTACACAGAAGGCAGAGGCTAGACTTACGCTGTGGGCATTGTTGATCTTCTTCACTTCCCACTGGCCTTCGCCGGTGTAGGTCAGCAGGGAGATGGCCCCATCCGAACTCCCGCAGGCCAGGATCAGGCCGTAGTCATGGGGGGCCCAGCACACAGAATTCACTGCAGGAAGGAGGGAAGCACATGAGCACTGACAGCATGGCCCAGAGTTTCAATTTTTGATTTCCCATTTTACTAAATTTTGAAAAAAACTGCAGGGATCACCAGGGGGATGTTGTAATTTTGTCAATTAAGGATATTAAAAAAAAATCTCTTCCACCTACTAATATCATTATTTCATAAACTAAAGTCTATCTTAACGAAAAAAGTAAGAAGAACAACAATTTGAGAATAAAGGCTGGTACTTAAAATGAATAAACCTTGAGAAAAACTATGTTATCTTTACTTTTCTCATTTTGCTTTGGACTGGCTTTAGGTTTAGTATTTTACCTCAGTGGACAGACTAGCAAAAAAGCCAACCACAGCCAACGGGACAGATGAAAAGCATCACAAGGGGAAGGGAGCCAGGGCTTCAGCAGGACACAGGCTTTTCTCACTCAAGGGCACCCTCACCAGCCCTCTCCTGCCACACTCAGTATACCTGAGGAGTCGTGTCCTGAGTGCTCGTGGGTCTTCTCCCAGGTGCCGTTTTCCTCTTTCCAGATAATGACTTTCCGGTCATAGGAGCAGGATGCCAGAATATTGCCATACATGGGGTGGGCCCAGGCCACTTGCCACACAGGACCCTCATGACTGCAAGGGGAAGGGGTGAGAAGCTGCTCAGATGGGCCAGAGGAAGCCATTGTGCCTCTGCCAGGCACTATTTTGTTCAGAACTGAGTAGCTTTCTTGGCAGGCTGAAACAATGTCTCATGATGGAATTGCCTAAGAATTTCAAAAGGGAGAACTATGGAATGTCAGTGTCAACAGGGACCTTCTCTGGATAGTGAGGACTCTGAAGCCCAGAGAGGTTAAGCAACTTGAGGTCACAGAGCCTTTGAAAGAGAGTCAGGACTCTAAGTCAGCCTCCCTGTCTGGGTCAGGTAGAAACCTCACCAGCCCCAGACTGCAGGCAGCACTGCCTATGTCTATGTCATCAGCACAGTCATTAATCAACCAAGGATTTACACCAGTAAGTCCTTAGTAAATATCTGTAGATGAAATCACTATTCATCCTTCTAGTTGGTCAACTTCTGAAAGAGCCCGTATCTGTTTCACTTTTATATTTTCTACTACTCTTTTAAATTGTAAGAGGCATGTCTTCATCTTCTCTTCTGATCTTTATCTGTTCACCTGATAACAGGTACCGTCTGAGCACATACTCTGCGGCAGGCTTTGCGTGGGGACTGCTTCTCTGGCACCTCGGCACACATGAGGCAGCACAGTATAGTGGTTATGAGCCAGGCTCTTTCCAACCCACTCCCCCATTCACTAGCTTTTGTCTTTAGGCAAGTATCCTATCCTCTCTATGGCTTTGTCTCTTTATCTGAAAATGGAGATATCAATAACAATTCTTTCATAGGGTGGTCATAAGGGTTAAATATTTGTGGTATCGCATGTACAAAGCTTAGAACAATGCTTGATACAAGAAAACAGAAAAACCACTCAATACCTGTTAGTATTATATACCTGTTAGTAAAGTGCTGCTCCTTGTTTACTTCTCACTCTAGGACTGCAGACACTTAAAAGTCTGCTCCTGCTCCTGGTGAGAACGGTACATTCTCAGTCCCTACAAAGGAGCTGCTAATGAAACTGTGAGTAGACTCAAATTTCCAACAGCTAGCATAGTTTTAACTGAGGCAAATAAGAATAGTGTGATTTTTTTTCTATCCCTCCAACATGTCACATCCTTTGACATAAGAAAAACAGACAGCAGAAAGGACTGAGTCACCGCAAATGTGACTGCCTCTGCCTGTTGGCAATCAAGCCTCATCCTAGTAGCTCTCTGTTCAGCCAGGAGCTCCTGCACAGGAGGCATCTGGCTCCTTTGTCTTCCTTTACACTCAGGAAGAGGTGGAACTTCTAGGCCCGCTTCCCCAAATGGACACTGACTTAGTTTATTTTTTTTTAAATTCAGTTAACGCACACATACTGAGCATCTACTTGCCAGTGTTCTTAATCTTTCTTGTACAGTCTGTTAAGGGTTATGAACCCCTTGTCAGAACAATACACAAAATACATAGAATGAGGCTTATAAAGAAAACCCAATTAGGGGCCAGCCTGTGGCTCACTTGGGAGAGTGTGGTGCTGATTACACCAAGGCCACGGGTTTGGATCCCTATACAGGGATGGCCAGTTAGCTCACTTGGGAGAGCGTAGTGCTGACAACACCAAGTCAAGGGTTAAGATCCCCTTACTGGTCATCTTTTAAAAAAGTAAAGAAAGAAAGAAAACCCAATTATACTGAAATGCAGTTATCCAAATGTTAAACAATTTATGAGATAGTGATACATAAGCTTCTTTGTTAACATATCAAGTGACAAATTCTAGTGGCAGATCCAAGAACCACTGTAATTTAAAAGTCATGATGATATTCTGAGATAGCTACAACTGCAATGCGAGATGAAAATAACTGTGACTTCTACTGATGACAAAGTGACAGGTATTAGAAATCCCACTGTGGTTTCTGGCCTACCTCCATAATTGAAGAAAATGCTAAACGTCAGAGTCACTCGAAATAAAGATGTGATTATTTTTTTCCCTTGCCTCAGCTCACCAACCCCTGAATTCTATCCACAAAACCCTTGGAGATCTCTGGAACCCAGGTTGAGAACCCACAACCAAGTGAAAGGCAGTGAAGTGAGGGAAAGCAGTAGAGATGTGGCCATAAAAACAAGCTGGGACCTTGTCAAGTATCTTAGTAGGGAAATGGTAAATCAAACATTTGTAAATATTCACTGAACACCTGCCACGGGCAAACAGGCAGAACACTGGCATTTATAAAATTATTATTGCATTCTTACATTATTTTTCCAGTAATGCTCTGGAGTAATGCTTTAGATCATACCGCTAAACTAGCATGAAACATTACTGTTTACCACTTCTAAAAGTAGCAGTGGCTGCCCACACTGAAGGTGTGCTTTGTGGTAGGCACTGTGTCAGAACTGTGCATGCACGACCTGGGAAGGAGGTACCATATTAGCCCAGTTTTGAGAGTGAGCAGATGAAGGCTCCGAGAGGCAAACTACCTTGCTTATCTAAGGTCCTCTAGTGGGTATATATATTTACGGGTAGCAGAGCTGGGAATCACACCTGGATTCACCTGTGCCCTTAGCTGCATTGCCCTGGGGACACTTGCTGGGGGCAGCTAGATTGGTTGGGATCCAGGTGTCCTCACTGCTAAAGACACATTGGGGATGCTCTGAATCTGGGCTCTCATCCATTTGTCCCATGCTTCAGGCAGGATGTGAGAAGCCAAACCATTCCTGAGACCTTCCCTAGGCTTACCTACACTTACCCCCTGAGGTCGGCGATGAGGATCTGCCCTCCGTTGCGCACATCGAAGATCCTGACAGACCTGTCTGATGAGCAGGTTGCCAGGCGGGTGCCATAGTAGTCCATCTGGGCATCATGCTGCAAAGGGAGGACAGCTCGGGAAGCATGCAGGCTGGGTGGGTGGGGGTGGGGTGAGGGCAGTCACCAGTCTAGTTTGGACCAGAATCTACCTGGAATTAATTTAATCTCAAAGAATCATCACCATCAGGCAGGAAGCTAGCATGCTGGCATTCTCACTTCTGATAGGCAATGTCTTTCTGAAAGGAACAAAATAATCCATACCCAGTTGGTTTAAAAAACCTTTTACACACTCCAGAGAAGGTCCTTTCTAATCCTGTTCTGTATGGTAGGTATGGGAGAAAAAAAGCTGGCATAGCCCTCTTCTTCCTCCTTCCTCTCAGGCATACTCCCCACCTTCCTCCTGCCTTCTTAGTCTTTGCAGGCTACTAGGGAAGATACCCTGAGGTTCATTCACCTCAGCCCCAGAACCCAAGGCTAATGCTTGGCAGCAGGCCAAAGGAGCAGGCCTCTGACTGGCTGCAGGCCCCAATCAGGTCCTCCACGATGCATTATACGTTTGAATGTGTCCCCCAAAGTCCATGTGTTGGAAAGTTAATTCCAAATGCAACAATGTTGAGGTGGGACCTTTGAGAGGTAACTGGGTCATGAGGGCTTTGCCCTCATTAATGGATTAATGCCATTATCGAGGGAGTGGGTTAATTATCCTGGGAATGAGTTTCTGATAAAAGGATAAATTCAGGCCCCCTTTCCCTTGCTCTCTTGTGCTCTCTTGCCCTTCTGCCTTGGCCCTCACCAGATATGGGTCACTCGAGCATAGACTTCCCAGCCTCTAGAACTGTGAGCCAAATAAACTTCTACTCTATAAATTACCCAGTCTCAGGTATTCTGTTATAGCAGCAGCCAAAGGATTAAGGCAATGGGCCTCTGGCCTGGACACAGGGTTCCATTCAGATATTAGGCTTCTTCCTCCACCCCTTGCCCTGCATCTTTTGTGGACCTGTTCCTGGGTTTCTGCTTGACCTTTTCCCCAGTACCCCAAGTTCTCCACCAAGGAAAACAATGCTTTAAGTGTCACTGGTCCCACCACTCATGCACCAAATTCCTCTATGCTGATGGACCATCCAGACCTAGGTCTGGCCCCTGCCCACGTTTCCTCGTCCATCTGGGTGAAAGTTGCTGAGGCCTACCACCCAGCTGAACATCCTGGTTCCTCCTGCTTGCTGGCTCTGTCTATTCCAATGGATGGCACTTTCCTCAGCTATCCCACCTGGGGAGTTTCAGGATCTATCGCTTGTCACTCCTGTGGTCATCAGGAGCAATTATACCCTTTCAAAGGAAGCATTAATTCTGTCTTCCTCAACATTGCTTTCTCATCTCCCTACTCAAGGAAAATGTCCTGATTCTTCTTTAGAAATTAACCCTCTCCTCTATAGCAGGCCTTGGTTTCTTGGAAGGCAGGCAGTGCAGGTGTGAAGATCTTCTCTGCAAGTGTATTTCTGAAGCATGTCTCCTGCAGAGTGCTGTTACGCTTTGGGAAGAAACAGGGCACAGTACCTAAGAGATCTAAATCCTTTCTCCTTAGCTTATTTGCTGTGCAAGCTTTGAAAAACTGCCTAATCTCCTTGAGCTTCAGTTTCCTTATCTTTAAATGGGGCTAATGAGAGCATCTGCTTTAAGAGTTTTTATGAAGGTTAAATAAGACACAGTGAAAAGTAGTTAGCATGGGCTCTGATACTTAGTGAGAATGCAAATGTTCGTCATTACCACTTTGCCTCATCTATTCCTCAAACCAAACCCATACAAGCAGGTAGCATATCCATTATTTTTCCTACGAGAAAACTGAGGCTGGCTCAGAAAAGTTAAGACATTGGCTAGGGAGTCTCAGATTGGATCTTCTTGTCTACGGTGCTGGACTATCTCTAAGGATGTGTGGTCTTAGAGCTAGACCATGTATAACTGAATCCAAGGATCATATACAACTCTGAGACCAGGTAACCTCTCAGAAACCCAAAAGCAACTGAAGGTGCATAGATTGAGAGGGCATGAAATGCTGTAAGCCAACTGGGTCTTGCTTAAAGGCTGCCTGCACTGCTTGGCTCTACGTGAACCAGAGTCTTTTTTTCCTGCTGGAGACCTTAACCTCTGGACCTTCTCCTACAGCCCTGTCCTCTTACGCTGAACCCTGTGTTTGCCTCTCAGGAAACACTTTTGAGTAGAGACTGCTGGTTCAAAGAGACTTGTTTGGCCTGTTGTCTGTGGTGGTCCTATGTGGCTCTGCCTTGGGCTTTCACTGGGGCTGCCCTCTGCCTTTGTACTGAGTCATCTTCCTACTCTCTTTTTTTTTAAACCCCCTTTCCAATGGGGCTAAGAAGTGACAGCAGGAGGAAGACAGGTGGGAAGACTACTGTGAAACCTCTGCACTCACTCAGGTGCATGTCATCCCAGAGCAGGTTACTGTGTTGGCCAGAAGACTGAGAGCCTTGAGCTACATACCATTCCCAAGTTCCTCCCAGGTGAAAATGATGAGACTGCCATAGCCCTGCCAACTCAGAGGGCACTGCTGAGAAACCGACCATACCTCCTTAGTCTATAGCCTGACTGGCAACTGCTGAAAATCCATACCTGTATTCATGAATGGTCAACAGAAAGGGGTAATGAAAAACCCAAACTGCTTCCCTTCCACAGGAATGCCCATGTCCACGACCCTTGAGGAAGGGCTAAATGAATACTTACAATCATGTCCTCATGGGAGGTATCCACAGTGTTAATTACTGACACCTAGAACCAAAAATATTCCTGGTAAATTAACTGAGGGCAGTTAGAATGGAATCATCTCATTAAATCTACTAATTGTTTCTAAAGTTCTTGACTTGTGTTTGTTCACTCACTCATTCATTCAGTAAACATTCACTCTAAGTACCTTCTTTTTGCCCAGCACTGTGCCTAGGACTGGAGATATAGACACAGAAAAGAGGTACTTCCTGCCCCTGAGCAGCCTGCACATAAATAACCATAAATGCCAAGATACAACTTTTAATGGTGGTTTACATGTAATATAGGGGTCTGGGGGTGGGGTGATGGTAGACATGAACTGGGCCTTAGATGATGGATAGGAATTTGCCAGGTGGCACAGGGAAAAAAGTACAGTCCAATCAGAGGGAATAACATGAGCAAAGACATAGAGTTCTCAGAGAGCTTGATGGGGTGGGGGTGGGGGTGATGGCAAGCAGTCCTGGCTACCACTGAGGGTGAGAAGGAACCCTGAGAGAGCTAGACCTCCTTTGTGGATGACAGAGCCTATGTTGTTCCATGCAGTTTATGCATAACAGGGTTATTACCCAAGACTTGGAGACTTCATTCAAGTTTCTCCTGAGGCTGCTCCCTGGTCTACCACTTGTGGCAGACCCTGTACTGTCACCTAGGGGGATCTAGGGTTAAACAGCTTATAGGGCTAGAACACAGCTGTTATGGTCATCACCTTCCTACCCATTCTCTATGGTTCAGCTCAAATTATCCCCCTTTTTTAAAGATTCTCAGATCCCCACTGGCTAGACTGTCTTGCATGTCTTCAGCACTGACTGTCCACAGCTGTTTTTCTTCTCCACTAGAAGGAGAGTTCCCTGGAGCTATAGTCTGAGTCACCTGCAGTTTTGAATCCCCTCAAATCATCCAGTACAGTGCTTTGCAAACAGAAGGAACTCAGTGACTATTGGCTGAATGAATAAATAAATGAACGAAAGTTGGATATAATTTTCTTTGCTTGACCACTATTCTCTTAAATTCTTGGGATAGAAAAGGGGACTGAAAAGGAGATTTCACATTCATGCAGTAACGGGCATGGTTCTGATGGCTTTATAAGGAAAGGAAGTGAGAAGCTTAGTTCTCTCTCTCTCTCTTGCTCAGCCATTTTCTCCATGTACATCGCTGTTGAGCCACTACCACCAAGGTCCTCACCAAATGTGCTCCCTGGATTTTGGACTTCCCAGCCTTGGAAACTGGAAGAAATAAATTCTATTTCTTTATTAAAAAAAAAAAAGGAGGTTTCAGTTTGGAATGAACATTTCTTACCAGTCCCCCCATTTCATCTTTTCCAGAACAAGCCCTACAGGTATAAAGTCTGACTTGACTTTTCAGAAAGGTGGACACCGGAAGAGGATGGCTGCAAAGAAGTTCAAAAGGTACACCTCAAGTAGCACAGGTTCTCTCATCAAGTTCTAGACTCCCTAAAAAGTGAGTCCCCAAGATCTGTAAAGGCAAGTAAGGAAGATAAGGAGTCTCCTCCATGTGCCGAGCTGATAGGTTACAAAATGCTTTCACATGCTCACTGGGAGGTACCAAGGGCAGAGTCAAGCAGAGCCATCTGCCAGACTAAGGAACTGAAGAAGCCCAGAGAAGAGACAGCACTTGCCAAAGTCACAGAGCTAGTTAAAGGCAAAGCTGGGAAAAGAGCCCCCTCCTAATTCCCAGCCCACAAAGCTTTTCACTCCGCCAGGCTACCTATCTAGAAGATAAAGTAGTTGTGACACTGAACTCCCTAAATCTAATGGCTGAGGGATACGTACATTCAGAAAGTTTACTGCGAGGTAGTTTCATAGCAGGTTACCAAAGGACCTAAGTGATAACCAGCATTTATTTCTGACCACTCTCACCTACCAGCCATGCTTGGTGAAATATACTTCTGAACAACAGTGAGAATGTGAATGTGAGTTTTTTTTTTTTTTTTTAAAGATGACCGGTAAGGGGATCTTAACCTTTGACTTGGTGTTGTCAGCACCATGCTCTCCCAAATGAGCCAATTGGCCATCCCTATATAGGGACTCGAATCCGTGGCCTTGGTGTTATCAGCACCCTCTCCCGAGTGAGCCGCGGGCTGGCCCTGAGTGTGAGTTTTAAAGCTCTCAGAGTACTTCTTCCTGTGCACCAGGCGTTATTGTGAAGTAGTGGAAGGAAGCACTCAAAACAATTCACCCCTTCAGAATCAGATGAGTTAAAAATTCACTCAGAAGGAGCTGAATTTCAGAGCATATGCATCCCCAACCCTATTCAGCAGCAGAACCAGAGGCCAAAAGAGGTGAGTGACTCAACCTCTAGTCGCCTGCAGCGTAAGAACCAAACCCAATGTTCTGATTTCTGGGTTCATGCAGGTTCCCTCAAACCTGCTGCTGAGGCACATCCATTTGCTTAAGAGCATGCATTTACTAGACTGTGCCAGGCTCAGTCTAGATACTTCCATCCATTAGTTTTCATTCAGTTATTCACTCAGTGAGTAAGGGTGGAAGGAATGAATCCTGTGGATACCACACAGGTTTAAAAAACTGAGGCTCTGCCCTCAGAGAGTCATTCGGCTCATCCTTACATCAGTTTCCTGAACTGCCCATCATACCTGCGGGCCCTATGCCGAACTGTTCGGCCACCTCCGCTGGGAGAAGTAGTAGGTGGCAGAACGGAATGGTTAGGAGGGTTCGTATCTCTGCCACTTACTAGCTGTGCACGAGGCTTCGCCATTCTAGACCTCGTTTCCTCACCTGTAAAGTGTTGATTAATGACAGCATCTTCTTCTGCTAAGGGGTTAGCAGGCTGAGATTATGAACAACACTTGGAACTTTACTAAGGGCTAAGTATACAGTAGCTCCTATGGTGTTTTTGGTTTTGTTTTCAATTTTTGAAGGAAAAGAAGGACAAGAGAGAGACGAGCAGGAGAGGCGGCAGCGGCGCGTTCCACAGAATTCCCGGAGGTTCCGCGGCCTCACCCCTGTCCTTTCCCTCTGGAAATTCCGCAGGGACAGGACCAGAACCCCTAAAACCTCGAATTGGTGGAAGGGAGCTGAACGGCCCCAGTCCGCGGTTTGAGCCTCGGTGCGGCCGAGGAACCCGTGGGAGCAGCGACCGAGGCCCAGAGCCTGCTCGGCATCCCCGGCCCCAACACTCACCATGGCTGCGGCGGCGGCGGCGGCGGCGGCGGCGCCTGCGGCTCCGGGCCTCGGACGTGGCAGCTTCCGGCGGCGCCTCCCAGCGGACCACTTCCGGCGCCGGGCAGACAGGACGCTGGCCGAGGCTCAGAAGCCTCCGTGCAGCAACCCAGCCTGCTTGCATAAAGGTTCCACGCCTTCCGGAAGCCGCGCCGCGCCCTCCCCGCCCCCCCATCCTCGCGGATCGCGCGAGACCTACGGGGTGGGGCTCTGGTTGCCATGCCGACCCTGACCCGGTGCTGGGAAATCTGAAGCGCTGGTGGGTCGTCTCTCCTGACCAAGCCTTCCCTCGAGATCCATAAATGAAAGAGCCTCTTCACCAGCCTCCCTGTGGTTCTGGGTGCGATCGGCCTTATGATGAACATCGTAGGATGATTAATTTTGGGGGGTGGGGGAGGTGAGTAGACTGGTCCTATGCTTCCTTGTTAGCCACTCCTCAAGACCCAAGGACTGAGACCAGGGCTGAGGAGGGCAGGGAATGCTCCTCACCAGAGGTGAGACCTCTTGCCCTGCCCTCCCTAAGCCACAAGGACCATGCCTCCAAACTGCTTCTTCCAAACTGATCCACTGGGATCCTGTGAGTCTGGCCCATCAGGTCGATACCCCCAGTCAAAAAATAATCTCAGCCAAGATCCTGTAGCTAGAGCCCAGGACCCAATCCGCAGTGTCCCCAACCTCAGGGTTCTTGGCTTCCGCAGAGTGGCACAGCACAGCGAGAATGCTGCACTGCAAAACAGAGCCGGCTTCCTTCAGCCACACATGGTCTAGCCCTGACCCCCTGGTGACATTAAAGAGGCAGATGACCTAGAGTCATCTCCCCTTAAGTCACCATCCTTCAGTTTCCTCTCTGGAAACCTCTAAGAACCCTAGCGAGAGATGGTCACTGCTTGAGGGAAGATGTTAGGGTTCAGAGAGCGTGACAGACCGAGACTGTCAAGGAGCTTTGGAGAGGGGGCCAGGGGAGAGTGTGTGTTAACAGAACTAAGGGCCAGACCTTGGGGCAGCAACCCACCCTTCCACCCCCGCCCCAGCTTTTGAGACTCATTATTTTCCAACGATGGAGAAATATTGCAGGGGTGTGAGGAGTGGTGCTTAGGGTAGAGTAGAGGAAAAAGGTGGGTGGGTGGGAGACCCCTTGGGTCTCCTGTTCTTCGAGGGACAGGCCCTGGCCTTGGATCTGTAGCTGCAATGGAACTGTATCTTATTAAGGTATTTGCTGGTGGGACTGAAAGGTATTGTAATATAGAGGTTTAGAGTGCTGATTCTGGGTCAAGACTCCTAGGTATCAATACTGTTATCTTCTACTTATTAAGTGGGCACACTCTTCATCTGTCTGAGCTACTGCCTCCTCCTCTGTTAGGTGGAGATTATAATAACTTCCCTGAAGGTTGATGTTGGGATTAAATGAACCCTTGGATATGAAAGTGTTTGGAAGTTGGATGGGCCTGTGGTGCCTGATCCGGGAATCAGTTCAATCTGAGAAGAGCTGGGATTGTGTGTGTGTGTGCATGTGTGTGTGCATGTAATCCTCAACCATTGGACCATCCATAGGGATTAATTCTTGGCCTGGGGTTATTCTTTTTCTCCGCCAATGTTCAGCAGAGGTTTGCAAAGTTCAGACTCCAAGGGTACCAGGTTCCCCTCTGCATTCCTCCTCCCCAGTAGGGGATGCTACCTACACCCTCTATCCATATTTTCCATCTCCTCCCTCTGGTTAATCCCAGACCCCAATTCAGGCCATTCTTAACTTTTCCCAGTTTGTGCCCCCCTCCAGTCCCTTTGCCCCCACATCTCCTCTTTTTCCTCCTGTGGTCCCTTCTCCCAAAGTCTTTCTCTCTGAGATGGTCAGCCATTCTTCATGGGTTAATGGCTCATGGCACGTTAAGCCTGTCTTCCTCAAATGGTGGATGTTCAAAAGATATGAACTGGTGGAAGGAGAGAGACCTCCCACTGAGCTGTGTGCACTTGGGCAAAGTGCCTTTACCTCCCAGGGACTCAATTCCCCCGAGTTCAAATCCACAGAGGGTGGGGCCCATCTGTCCTGTGGAAAAAGGCCTTGTGATGTGTACCGTGTCTGCATTTCCATGTGTGCATTTATTGTTATTGCTCAGTATAGTATTGAAAAGGCAGACAAATCCCATCAATTACAAAGAGCACAAGCCAGAGATACAGAGAAATAAAGAGTGTACAATAAGAACACAGTCACTTTCCAGCCCCGATTGCCCCAGAGCACCCCAAAGCCCGGGCAGCTTATGGGAGCTGGAGGCGGCACCATTCCCTCGCTACTCTGTTATAAAATATGTGCACACAAGAGTTAGCAGAGTGTGGCGGCCCGACCCCAGAGAGGAAAGGTCTGGAGGGAGAGCACCACAGGCGTTACAAGACAGAGGGCTGAGAGGGGCGGTTCCAAAGCAGCCTCAAATATCTTGTTTTTGGTGGAGGGGGTGATTAGCTGCTGCCCAGGGCCTGGGATTCCCCTCCTCACACTTGGGTGGGTATGATCACTACCTCAACATCAAGAAGCTTGATTTGGAACTTAGAAAAGACCTAGAGATTTCCTGCTGTTGTCTGATTTGGGCTTTGGCTCTGGAAAGCCCCAGAGCTCTCAAGAAATGCCCCCTCCCCCAAGATCTTCTCAGGGTGGTATTTCAGACGCTATGGCAGGAGAGATTTGGGTGGGAGGCTTGTCAGAATGCACCAGGTTGGCAGCCTCCTGTAGATACAGCAAGTATGGGGTGAGGAGAGTAAGGGTGCTGAGAAGGCTCAGGCAAGAAATTTCTGCATCCCAAAGGTGCTGAAAACTCTGAATTCAAGAGCAATAAGTGATCCCCCGAAAAAACACAAAACAAAAGAAAAAAAAAAAAGAAAAACAACCAAAAACCAGTCAGGAAAGGAAGACGGGTATAAAGGTTTCTATATGATGAGAATTAGAAATGCAGACAGCTGGGCCACACATTCTCTCCTAGCTTGCTCTGGTGGCTCCAGCTCTGGGAGAGACCCCCCTGGACCAGGGTCAGATGGAGGGTCCACCCCAGCGCAACCAAGATGGATAACTTTGGTTCCAAGCTGAGACTGGGTGGGGGCATAGTGGCCTTTCCTGACAACTCCCGTGCTTAGGGGACAGGTGAAATGATGAGAGGACATCAGACTTCCCTCCCTTACAGTTCAGCATGTGCCTTTTGTTCTTCCTTACAGGACACACTAGACTTAGTGGCCTGAATGGGCAGTACTTACAATGGAGAGAAGACGATGGCACATGGCATTACAGGGCCCAGAATTTGGGGTGGGAGAAGGGCAGGTGGTGGAGGACTTGGCAGAATTTTAAAGTTTACTTGGAAGAATAGATGTGAGAGAACAACCAGGAAGTTTTGTAAAAGAAGAGTGGAGGGGTCTCGTCCCACCACATAAAACATTATAAAGTGACAACAATTAAAACTGTGGCTGGTGCCAGATGAGACACCCAGATAAGGGAACAGAAGAAACATTCCAGAAATTGACTCAAGTCTGCACAGAATGTGGTAAAAGTGGCATTTCAACATGGCTGAGGAAAAGGGTGGCTCTTCAGCAGCCGGGGTACCCAGAAGAAGGCAGGCAGAGTTCTTGCTTCAGTGCAGGCGTTCTAAGCAGTGTGATCTCAGAAGCAGGGTGCCCTCCCTCTTGTCAGCTCTGTACTGTGTCTGGGACAAGGGGCCAAGTGGCCATGGTGAGGGGTTGGTGGGATCAAAGGAGGCTGCTCCTGAGTTAGGGAAAGCTCTGCCTGAGTTGCAGGAAGGAAACTCCTGAGTCCTCTCTGCCCACTTCCAAAGATGTGTGACTCTATAATGCCAGGAGTCACTGAATGGCTCCCTTCTCTCCCCTTGTCTGTTCGGGAGGCGGTGGGGGGGGGGGGGGGAAA